TTTATTTGGTTCATTCAATTTAATTGATTGATTGATCGGTTGATTGATCAGTTGGTTGATTGAATGACTGACAGACTGGCTGGCTGGCTGACCGACTGACTGATTGTTTGATTGATTTATCTCATAGTATTGTATACATGAGAAAAAATCCGATTAAGTCAACCTACGGCTTCAGTAAGCCACTGTTTTTCACCTGACAAAACCAATTTCTATATTTATACTGACAAAAATAATTGTGATATGAATATATTGATTTATTTAAAGCATTATATGTACAAAAAAGTTCTATCGTAAGAGTTCTATGAAACCCTGTAAGCCACTGCTGTAAGCCAACGTATGATTTCAGCAGCCAGTTTCTTATGAGCACCAGCAGAATGTAAAATATTCATTGAATATAATGAAGATAGTTGTTCAAATAACAATTTTGATTTATTTAGGCCGTTTATTTCATGAGCAAACCAATTTTTAACATGATCGAATAGTGTAAAAAAAAGGGTGACTATAATTCAATCCTACTAAGCCAACCTTCGGCTTCAGTAAGCCACCGGATTTCACCGGACCAAAAGCAATTTTTATATTCAAATTAACAAAAATAATTTAATAATACATAATTCTATTAATAATTATTAAAATTAAATAGAATTACTACAATGTTTTAAGCATATTAAATCAAGTAAATATTTCATTTAGCTTGCTCGTTAAAATCCATGCAATTTAGTAAGCCAACAATCCAAGCACGACAAATAGCCCGACCGATAGATCGAATTGATCAACTAGTCCTATTATTCTAGTTATATGGTTTGGAGCAAGGGAAGACATTACTGAAAATAATTAAAAGTTGAAAAAATTGAGGTTCTTTGCATATCCCTGCTTCAACCCATAAGAAGGTGTTGTATGCTGGTAAATAGGCCTCCCCTTGTTATAGATACAATATTTCCTTACACTCTATGCTTTACAAAGATAACAATAATTGAATAATAAATAATATAGCGCAATTCTACCATTCCCGCGGTTATATTATGTTGTTAGTGATGTTACGTCATTCATGTGTAGTAGGATAAGATGTTATGGAGGATGACATTAACTTGAACTTGTTACGATTTACTCTCTTTTTTTTCTCCCCCGGATGGCGTGATGGTCTAGTGGTTAAGGTTGCCTGGTGCTGTTTCGCAGTAACCGGGTTCGAATATGTCAAAAAGATTCCTGCCAATCACATGCTTCGTGTGTGATGCGTCGTTTAGCATGTATTCATTTACGATGTTTGTGCGCTTTGTTGAATCCTTTGAACTTTTGAAGAGTGTAATTGACCTTTAACCTACTCGGTACATCATTATACTCTAAATTCTAGATACTATTCACAGGAAACCACCTTATTCATTTTTATATTAACCTTCCATAAAATTCATTTCAGGTCATTTTTATATTAACCTTCCATAAAATTAACGCTTCACTCTCTATGCTTCATTCTCCCGCCCATATATATATATATATATATATGCTCCCGCCATCCACCTTTTCCATTATTTAGCAGACACTGGGAGATTCTCAGCATTCCATCGGTTTCAATTTCATCCTACGAACGTTAGTATTTATATTAGATTTACATTGTTTAATCATTTTTATATTAGTATTCATCGATGCAATGTGGTTAGATACAGATATTTTCTGTATTTATAAATTTGATTGATACCAGTAGCTCGTTTCTCAGCAACACATGGAGACATCTCGTGGTGTAGAGAATTTTTGTGTGTGATTATTCACAAAGTTGTTACTGTACGATCGTATGAACACAGTTCTTCATTGAAATAAATAAAATAAATTGATATATTTCATGATATTTTACTTTAGCATAAGCGTATTAGTTACTTTAGTTAAAAGTTAATGACTAAGTTTTTAATTTAGTAGATAGTGGTTCTATGCTATCATAGGTTTGCTTTTAATCCGTCCCAGTTAAAATTTCGCGCAAAATTTACAATTAGAATTTTGTTTTCAGAGCGATACAATGGAAGGATACAGGAAGACAAAAAATAAAAGAATTTTAATTCTGAAGTCTGAAAATATCGTGTTCACTGATCGGGTGGTCAAAGCCCTCGGCCTCTCAGCGGACAGTGAGGACACCCTGAGTGATGAGACGTACGGACCAGCTGATCGCGCTGCCGACAACTACAACGAAACCGACCACATGTACAGCAAGTGCGCCATCTGTCGGGTCCACTGCGGTTCTCTCAAGAGTTTGAATCAGCATCTGAATGGGAGGATGCATCGGTTGCATGAGTGCCTTGATATCTTCAGGACACACGAGTGAGTGATTGGGATTATTTTTTATTTTCTTTTAATAATTTCATTATTATTATTATTATCCATCAATGCAACATCATGCTAGCTATCTTTAAAATTGTATTTATTTTTTGAACATGTGTTTCAATTTGTTATCGATAGTGGGCCTGGCTAAAGTATGATGCTCTTGCATGATTTTAGTGTGTGCTGAAGTAGCTGAAATGTTGTGTCTCTGAAGCTCAAACACTGTGCATAGCCTTTGTATGCGTGTATGCATGTATGGTGGTGCAATGATGATTGATCCAAAAGTACCATATAATTGTAAGGTGATCTGAATGATTTTTGTGGTATAGAAGCATATGTTTAACAATGTAGGTTAATATGAAGTATTGAATATTTAGAAAATTAGAATAACTATCTTGCTTTATATGAGTTGGTATATCATGTCATTACCAGAGGCTTGTTGTATGGGACATCCAGTTGTATTAGAAACTATAAACTGGAGATTTAATTATCTTCAAACGTGAGCTTATTATAATTAAAAATTATAAACTTTTTTTAGGTACCATTTGAAGCAAGATAGGGCAGGGGTGAAGTTGGCTGCCAAAATAAGTACAACCAATGAGGTTTTCAATTGTGGGAAAGATGTTGATTGCAACATCTGGCTGAAAGAAGGTGACAAGACGAGGCCAGCTGTGAAATTTATTTTGGAGAACAATGGCGATGTCAACTGCTGCCTGCTAAAACATTTTGACTTGAGTTTCTCTAACAGCTTCGCCTGGACCACAAATACTAAATGGCCAGTCGTAATTGAAAAAGGTTAGAAACAAGATCAAAGTTTTTTATACTTTCAATTTACATTTATTCAACTCTTTAATGTCTCATTGGGTTTGTTCATTGCTAGGTAAGCAGATCGAATTGCAGTTTAAACTAAAATCCTCAAAAGTGGGCATTTATACATCAGTAGTTGCTTTCAAATTCGAATCACCAAACATCATATTGGTGAAGAGGATTCGACTTCAACTGTTGGATGAGAAGCTGAAAGAATTGGAGCCCACCTCCAAATATCAAAGGGCTGAAGTTTCAGTCATTGAGAAGAACTTTTCTGCTATATTTAAGGGCAGAAAATTAGAAAGGTTCATTTTATTTTCTTGAGATTCTTTTTATTTAATATGTGTTCCAACATTCTTCAAAAATTATATTTCAGTTTCGATTTTAACTGCAGCTAATTTTTGTAGTTTCAAATTTTTGTAGTTTTGATTTCAAACCGCAATTATTAAAGTAATTTTTGCTTTAAATTTTCAGTTCGGATTTGCTGAAACTGGAGTCTTGCATCGAGTTAAATGCCTACAACATGCCCAGCACATTATCCAGCTTCCTGAACAAAAAGTTTTCTGACGAAGCTCCACTAAGCCTCCCTAAGGACTTTCAGTAGGAATATGTTTCTGTCATTTCCATCTTCATTCAAATTAAAAATTTTGACTTCAAATTCAAACATTTTCAATGTTTTGATGTAAGGTACTTCATTCTTTTGAAGGTATTTCAAGAAACCCCTTGGTGAGGGCAACCATAGGGAGCGCTTCCATCTGCTGTTGTTCCTGGAGGAACACCAGTTGCAGTTGGACATCAGGAGGTATGACATGAAGGCACACACTGGACTAGAGGCTGTTGAGTGGCGCAACTACAAATTAATGGTTCGCTGCTTTTGTTTAATATCTATCAAATTTATTTTTATTTGTTTTGCTCTAGTCCAGATATCGTGGGCGCCTCTGATGCTATGCGTGGGGTGCTGCACCAAAGACATATTATTATTATAATTATTATATGAGATTTGAAATATTAAATGATTAATTTATTAAATGAGTTTTCAGAAATTCCAATATTAAATTTAAAAAAAAATGGATCTGTGGATGAAATTTTGCTCTGGCAATTTTATTCAAAGTTGGGGTTTTTGAACATTGCAGGTAGAAGGATTGGCTGAAAAGAGACCGTCAGTGCTAATTGGTGACGAGATTTGTGTATCATTCAGCGGCGAGGAGAAACAAAAAGTAAGTGTGTGTTTGTGTGTGAGTGTGTTTGTCTATTTTAAAAGTTATGACAGTGATAACATCAGCTTATCAATTTTTATCATCATTAAGTTATTATCATTGTACTGAATGTACTGTATAGTTTTTGTTTGACGAAACAATGGGAATTTAATAATGTTACGCTCAATCAACCATTGTCATCATATGATAACTTCTATATTCCAATGAAAGTCTTGTAGAATCAAATGGAAATATAAATTTGGAAATAGAATATTACAATTTTGTAACGATCATGTGATGAATTTTCAGGGAAAAGAGAATGCCCAGTATGTAGGCTACGTTCACAGCGTGGCTTGTGATTTTGTCATCATCAACATGCATTCCAGGTTTTCATTTTTTTTCATTTAATTCAATTTTTCTGAATTATTTGTAAACTTTTTTTTTTAAATTTTCATTTAAAATAATATCAATAGAAGTGTGATGGCTTAATGGTAAAGGTGTTTGCCACTGCTGATGCAGTGACTGGATTTGAATGTCAAGAGATCCTCACCTGTCACATGCTATGTGTGTGATGCACTGATTCACATGAGTTTACAATTAATGTTGGCATCTGTGCGAAACAAACAATAGAGAGGGAACTTAAAAAAAAGTTAATCTTCTGTATTATGAACTTTCTCAAAAATTTCCTCCAACTCCAGTTTTTGTGAAAAGTGGGTCAAAGGCATGAAGCTTGACATTAGGTTCACTTTTAACCGGTTGTCTCACAGACTCCAACATCGATCCGTTGATCTGGCGCTAGAACATTCCCTGACCCATTTTTACCTCTTCCCCCAATACACTGACACGTAAGTGAAGTGATCTTTTTTTTTATCAAAACCTTGACGTTTTGCATTTTCATTAATTTGTTAAACTTCAATATGCTATGTTCATTTTATGATTTATTTTTTGTTAAATTAAAAATATATGCATTTTATTTTGTTAAATATGTCTGGCTATTGATGTAGTGAGTTGCTCTGTAGTTACTCGAACATATTTTCAAACTCAAATTCATCAATTTTTTTTACATGTAGCTCTAGAAAATTATCACGCTGCTATTATTATTATATTATACGATGGATGCTGCAATTAACTGACTGAATCTAATTTCAAATTAAAATTAAATTAAATTTTTAAAATTACTTCCCCTGCAGCGATCCAAACGCTGAGTACACGAAGATCCAGCAGTTTTATAACAGAAACATAGGCAACAATGAGCAGCAGATGCTAGCCATCAACAACATCGTAAACAACACATCGCAGGACATGCCATTCGTAATTTTTGGACCGCCAGGTACTGGCAAGACGAGCACCATCGTGGAGGCCATTGTACAGGTGAGCGCTTTTTACTGAGTTAGCTGCTGTAATTTTTGTTTCCTTTGCTGGCATTTCGTTTGAAATTCTGCTTCAAACTTTTCTGTGAGTTTGTTTAGAATTTGACATAGCCATCATAATCTTGCTGTAGAAAAGTATGTTTATCATTAAATTACTCTATATAGCGATTCGCCACAAACCATTTGTTAAATAATCCGTCATAGATCTACAATAGAGATAGGACGTCCAACATTTTGGCATGCACCCCATCCAATCGCTCGTGTGACCTCCTCGTTGAAAGGATGCTGGTCTTTGGAGTGAAACCCAAGGATGTCTTTAGGATGTATGCCGCTTCGTACAACATTGCACAGATTCCAGCTCCCATTAAAGTTATTAAATTTTTTTTTTCAAAGAAACTTGAATAACTGATGTCTTTAATTTAAAATAAGCTTTGATTTTCTTGAGAATGATTAATATTTAAATTCAATTCAATAGTATGCATTTGCAGACCTACTTTTAACATTTTTATGATTATTTAATTATGATTATTTAACATCATTTTATTAGAAACTTTTATAATTTCTGATCAAATTCAGAATTGTAGCAATGCGGCTGGCAACTTCATTTTCATGCCAGCAAAGGAGCAACTCCAGTCAAATTATCGCATCATTGTATGCACTCTAGCCACGAGCGGTCGACTCGTTACTGCCAATTTGAAGTCGGGGCACTTCAGTTACGTATTCATCGATGAAATCGGCCAGGCCACTGAACCAGAGGCCCTCATTCCTCTGGCTGGTATCTGCGAACCTGATGTTGCAGATGTACATGTTAGTTACTTGCACTGAGTATTTAAGATAATCGATTTATTTTATTATTTTAATTGGTTTTTTTTTTATTCGTTTGTTCCAAATCCAAAATGGCAAATTACAAAAAAGGTATGAAAATGTGGATCTATGGAGGCCGAATAAGACATCAAAGTGTTGTAAAAGCCACTGCAAAAAAACAAAAAATCAATTTTACAATTCTATGAGAATAATTACAAAGTGTCATATTTAAATAATACGTTGTGTTGAAATCCAAACATACACCATTATATTAGAGTAAAGCAAGAGCGTGAACATCATTTTACATTAAACATTTATGATGATGGTGTCTGGTGTATTTTTTAAACTTTCTTCAACTGAAATGAGTTCAATTGCTGGGCTGTTTGCTATTTGCTTCTTAACCATCTTACAATTGAAAATATTATATCTGTTCATTCTCATTTCAATAATATTTCATTGTCTAGAAATTGAAATTAAGCTTAAAATTTATTAATCTGATGGGATGAAGGTCGTAATAGCTGGTGATCCAAAGCAGCTGGGTCCTGTTCTTAGGTCAACAACAGCCATCAAGTTCGGATTAGGTAGTTCGTTTTTGGTGCTTTTAAAAATTATATAAAATTATTATATAATTATAAAATTAAAATAAATTTCTCATATAAAAATTCAAAACATCTAAATTTTTGACGTCATTTCATCACCTATCCTTCAGGGATGTCGCTCCTGGAACGGTATATGAACGACTTTAAAATCTACAAAAAGGTCTCCGACGATGCAGAATCTGGTAGTAGTGGCGGCAGTGAAAGTAGCAGCAGCAACTGCAACGAACAACTACGCCAACATTCTCATTACGACAACAATTACATCGTGAAACTGCTCAACAACTATAGGTGCCATCCCTCGCTCCTCCAGGTCTCAAACGAGTTATTTTATGATAATGAGCTCATCCCATCGGCCGATCCAGTCTTCGTTGGCCAGTATCTAAGATGGGACAAACTGCCGAATCCTGGTTTGATTTGTTTTAAAATTTGTTTGCTGTGCACTGCATGTACTCTCTATTGTAATGACTCTTCAGTGGAGCCTTTTCATTTGATACTTTCATGGAGATCAGGCTATTGACATTTTAAATTAGTAAAGTTATTTAGAAGAACTTTTTTTTTTAGAATAGCAACAGTTGTATCTCTTATTGAAATCGTTCTAGATTAAGAACTATTATCTCAAATTAGATCATTAAATCAGTGTATGTATGTAGAACTAGTCTTAGTTCAAATTAACTGGTGTTTGATGTAGAGATAGTTGTTTCGCATATGTGAGATGACCATTAGATATATGATGACTATATGATGTAAAATGACTATAATGACCATCTGATATATGATACCATTTGATATATAATGTCATCTGATACATGATACCATTTGATATATGATACCATCTAATATAATGATTATCTGATACATGATACCATCTGATATATAATGAACATCTGATATATGACATCATCTGATATATAATGATCATCTGATACATGATACCATCTGATACATGATACCATCTGATATATGATACCATCTGATGCATGATACCATCTGATATATTCCACAACAGCCATGCCTTTGATCTTCCACGGCGTGAGAGGTAAGGATGAGCGTGAGAGTTCCAGCCCATCATTTTTCAACATTCAGGAAATAGTCCAAGTCAAGTTCTATGTTGACGAACTGATGACGAGCTCGCTGAGGGTCAGCTGCCAAGATATTGGCATCATCACGCCGTACAGAAAACAGGTTATTGTCGGTTTCATTTTCATCGCATTTCATTTGATTTGCAGACGTAAGTGGCGTTTGTGTAGGTAAAAGGTTAATAATACTCATAATCTGAAACGCAACTATGGGTTGATGTAATTAAGTAAATGATGTAACTTAACTGATATCTTTCTTAGTGGAGTTGTTAAAATTGCATCTAATTTTTTTTACAATTATTATTTAATAATTTATTTACAATTATTATTTAATAATTTTATCTGAACTTCAAACTGTTCGTACCTCATGAGTTTCAAAACATTCATCATCCATAAATACATTGCAAAAAATAACTCCACTAAACTAAAGAGTTGAGGAAATGTTGATACAAATTGTGACAAATAACTCTACTAAGCTGAACAAAGAGCTAATGAGATATTAATACAAATTGCAGGTGCATAAGTTGAAACAGGCTCTGAGGGGATCGCGCTATAAAGACATCACCGTGGCATCAGTTGAGGAGTACCAAGGCAGGGAGAAAAAGGTTTGCTAATGACAAATGATAGTATCATTAAAGATACTTTCGTAATCGTGTGTGGCGTAATGGTTGAGGTGTCTAGCATTGCTGTTGCTGTGGATGGGTTTGAATGCAGTAAGATTCTCGCCTATAACAGGCGATCTGTCTGTTGTGTTGATCATTTACGTGTGTTTACCTATGTCTGTTGTTGAGTGTTGGTGATACCATTAAGATATATCCAAGATATCAAGATTGTAATGAAACAACTGCTCCCTAAAGGTAATCATAATCAGTACCGTTAGAAGTACGAAACATTTCATGCTGTACGACGCTAAGTTCAACGTTGGCTTCTTGAAGAACCCAAAGGTTTGGTGTTTGTACTTTTTTCTGCTTCCATCTTTTCGTAATATGTGTGTGTGTGTTTTTTTTTTGTGTGCACACGTGTGTACTTAATCTTGACAATTTTACTGAATCCACAAATCCATCTACACACATATATCCATCTACACACATATCCACACACATCCATCCACACACACATCCACACACATTCATCTACACATCCATTTACACACACATCCACACACGTCCATCTACACACACATCCATCTACACACACATCCATCCACTCATCCATTTACACACATCCACACATCCATCCACACACACATCCACACTGTCAGAGGTTCAATGTGGCCATAACGAGGTGTCAGTGCTTGTTGATAGTCATTGGAGATCCTCACCTTCTGACCGCTGATCCGTGCTGGAGGAAGTAAGAGAGGGATTGTTTGGAGACTGGAATGAATTGTGTATATATTACATTCATTGTATAAACGTGATTTTAAATGAAGCAGTGATCAGACTGAGTAAATTTTTAAAACTTTCTCTTTAGTCGGTTCTGAGGGGTTCATATCTGGTGAATTTTTTGTTGCTAAATTTAGTTTGGTTTCGTTTTGAGTCTTGCGGGTACATTTATGCTCATACAATTACTGTTACTAATTTATCTGTCGATCCAATTATAATTATAAATCCTCATTTATTGGATTCATTCATAAGTCATAACTTGTTTCAGCAGCATGTTTTATAATAGAATGCGTAATATTAATCAAAAACTCTTAACAATTTGTATAATTCCAGATTGCTGATGTACTGCGTAACGAACAACTGCTACGTTGGCACTCCGTTCAAACTGAACGAGAACGAAGAACTTTCTGATGAGACTGACATACTGGATACTCAGCTGGATGCAAGTCCAATCCAAAACATAAATGACGCTGATGGTGTTGTTGGCATCAAAGAAAACAAAGACTCCAATGTGGATGACACGATTTTAAACCTCAATGACATGTGCCAGCTGTTCAAAGAAATGCAGCTAGAACAATTAGCTTCTTAACTTTTTAACTATTCATTTCTATCTTTTCACTTGAATATTGCTTCTACTTTTAAATATTTTTTGTCAGGTTTTATGATATACATATACATACACTATTTTAAAATTTATGTAATGTTTTGGTAATGTAATTGTATTCACCATTGTAGATGGAATGTGTCTGTGTAATCATGTTTTGTTAAGTGTAATTATGTTTAGTTAATTGAATTTGTCATAGTAATCGTGATTGAAGATGAGTCATACTTTGCCCGTTGTTACAGTTTATGTTTAATATATAATGTTTTCTTAAATAAATTTACGAATTTATTTATCAAAATCAGTTCGTTTTTAACATGCTTTTTTGGTGTATATGTGTGTGTGTGTGTGTGGTGTGTGTGTGTGTGTGTGTATGTGTCCCTAAGGGTCCAACACGTATATGCATTCCATTTTTCAAATATAAGTGTCTGGAAATTATTTTTCCGTCTCATTCATGTCTGTTGTGCTTTTTTAAAATCATACTTAATAAATATATTAAAAATGTATCAGTGGTCTTTGTTTGATTATCACCATATACGTCCAGTTCATGGTTATATAGCGGTCAGTCGGTTTACAAATTGATGATCAATTTATTTGGTCACTTTTAGTTATTTCGTTTAAATAATGATAATAGCCTTGTGGATTTTATGATGACGACCTGCTTTTTAATTTTTTTACAGTTACGTTCATTGTTAACGAACGCTCATTTTATGTATTTATTGTATATGCGCACAATGTACACACATACAATACACAATGTACACTGTAAATTATGTGCGTGCCTATTGTATATACATGTGTGTGTGTGTGTGTGTGTGTGTGTGTGTGTGTGTGTGTGTGTGTGTGTGTGTGTGTACGTACGTACGTACGTTGTTTTTCTACTTCAATTTTTTGTACCATTCATTTTTGTATATAAATGAATTTATTTTTCCATTATAAATATATTCATAGACATATATAGATACAATTATACTAACCATACGCACATATCCATTTGCTGTGTCTTGCGTGTCGGAATGCGACTGTTGAATTTATACCTTGAATGCATGCAAAAGCTACGACATGCGGCTTTTTTTTTGTACTTTAGCTGAGTTTGAAGATTGTTTCATTGAGGAATATAATAACGATGCTATTTATAATAATTATCATGTAATGTAATTCTCATTTATAATATTTATAATGTAATAATGATATAATATTAATTCTCGTTACAATATAGTTTTTTTGGTTACTAAATTTGTTATGACATCATGTTTAGGATCATTTTTATTGTATCAACATTGAAAAATTAAGTATTTTGTTTCGGATATGTTCTTTTTTTGGACCTAACGTGTGTTTTGCATGTAGATGGTTAATCAATGAACCTTTCCTGCATTGTTTTAATTGAAGCCTGATCAACTTAATTATTTTATGGTATCATTTATGTCATTCAATGCTGTTGATGAAGGTAGCTTTTGATGAAGGATATTAAAAGAATGAAAACTTGGAAAAGAAATTTTTATATTTTTGTAGCAACCAGAGTAGTTTTAGTAGTAGTAGCAGCAGTAGTACTAGCAGCAGTAGTAGTAGTAGTAATAGCAGCAGTAGTAGTAGCAGCAGTAGTAATAGCAGCAGTAGTTGTATTGGTGTTGTAGCCTATTTTTAAGCAAGATAAATTGCTAAAATTTCACCAAATATATATAAGCAATAATAATTAAATACGTTTTGCTGCGACACGAAGGTGTAAAAATACGGTATCAAATTTAAAGTGAACTATGAACTATAGTTCTGAGTAAACTATAAAGTGAATTGACTAACGGGCACATGATTGAATACTGCTTATTTCTACATTAAACTGAAAATATAAATAATAAATATCGCACCTCCATGCGATCAAATGTTATTATTAATAAATCAAAGTTATTACTAACTATTTTAACTAGAACTACAATTATAACTACTTTATTAATGTCAACTTCATTGTTATAACAGCGAGGAATTTCGTCACTTAACAGTTAAGATGTAACGATCATAAAATTCCAGACCTAGACCATGAAACCGGTTAGACGGTTGCACAAACACTGCGGACCACACGAGCAGTTCTGGTTGCAGTTCAATCCGTACATGCCAATATCGCAAACTGCATGTATAGCAGACAATTCACTTTAGTAGGTTAGTTCAATTTAGTAAGTTAAGAAATAAAGTTGCGAATCAAAGTAAGCGATACCGGAGTAGACGCTGTTGAAGAAGTAGCCACCGCATTTTTCAACAGGCGATCCTCCGCACGGATACGTGCATCCTGCTCCAACTCCATAACGCCCGTACGTGTCGGAACAGAAGTTATCAGAGCCATACTGAGTGTACAATTGATATCATTCATACAAGTACCACCGCCAGACTTCATTTGGCGACAACAAAGACTTCGAAACATTCGACCTTATCGTGCGGATGTGGATAACAGTGCATGCATGCTTTCAGCCAGCATATATTCAGTCAAGTATTGTCGTTAAACGACAGGACAAAAACATGCTCGTCCTTTGATAGAAGCATTCAATTATGATGAATATGAAGAAAAATAAAAACTTTACAATGTCTTTTCTAAACATCATAATCATCAAAAACATCACATTAACAAACAATACCGCAAATTTGCACATAGCAGCAATATCAATAACATTTTCAGGCGAGCCAGCAGCATGCATCGAGCAGGAAATTTCACATGTATAATTAATTAGCTTTTGAAATTGAAATAGGCGAGTTTTACCATTGTAGATTTATGGACGTTGCTGGCTAAAATTAAATTAACACAAATTTTAAGTAAAATTTGTCGCATAAAGTTTCTCCAATTGTTTTGTGACTTAAAAATTGCGCTTTTTGTTATTTGCGAATTACCATCTACAATGATTTCTGTCATGGAAAGCTTTTTTCAAAGTTTTCCAGCCACATTTCCGACCTTGAACAATTGGATGGGAATGAGTGTGTATAAATTTAACATAAGATACAAAATTTTTTTTAAACAGTGCATTACATGGTACTATCAGAACAACCGAAACGTAAATATACCAAATTAAGTACATAAGAATGACAAAAACCGTCAATCAGTACAAAACATTGAAGAATGAAATACAGCAGATAAATCTATTTCAATTTCTTATTAAAAATGTAGAAAAAAATTTTTTTAATGAAAAAATTCAATTTATTTATCAGCTAGTAACTAAACCTGCAATCCGATGAAAGTGTAGTTCATGATCCGGCATTTGTTCCATCCCGTCTGAATCGTTAGGTCGTAGACCCGTGTCTCCCAGTATGGCATATCTTTCGGAGAATATATGTCCTTGTAACAACCGAGATATCTCGACGACCATTCTTCAAATATTAATTTCAAATTAATAATATTATTATAATCACGGGAATGATCGAATTGCGCTATATAATTAATTATTGTTATCTTGTTATATCTGTTATTTTTGATATTCGTCATTGGTCGTAAACCATAGAATCTTTTCATACCGTAGAGGATTGTAAAAATCTATTGTAGAGGCTACGTAAGGAGGGGTTGCGAATAGCGAGATCTCTAGAAAGGTTTGAAGCGAAGTCGTGAATGTGATTTATGTAGCTACCCGGATTAATTAAATGTTTCTGTTACTGTTGGCCTTCAAATAAACGTTCAACAAAGTTTGCGTTTGAAGCAGTTGTGTTCATCTATCGGAAATCTTGATCATACGGAATAACGAACACTTGACGATCGTTGGAAGCTACAACAGTGGCGTAGGAAATATGGAGATCATTGAAGTCATAACACCGAAAAATATCCCGCAAATTTTCCTGCAAATACCCGCGGAAAATCTGCGGGATGGAAACTAAAGTTGGAAGGAAACCTGCTCGTTAGTCTGTATTAAATTATAACTATAATATGAGACATTACATTTTAATCTTTAATGCTATAATAAAAAAAATTACCATTGTTGAGAGGTTCATTACCAGATGTACGTTTCTGAAAAATTCAATTGAAGATAAAACATTGTTTAAACGTTTTAAATACTACATAAAAGCTCCGACAACAACGCTAGTTTAAAGCCAAAAAAGTTTAAAGCTATTTTGGTGTTATCCGAACTGCCAGACACTATGCTCCATTCAAACAAACACCTCAGTCCCACTTAGAATTGAGAATACAGAAACAGGCATGCCTCGTTTTGTGTCATTTTATTTGAAAAAAAAAATGAAATAACCTGAAATGAGATGCACAGATCAGACGAGAGATACCCTGTTTTGAAGGTGGTCTTTTTCGTGAAGAACTGGCAAGTCCTGTTGTCGTAGTGGTAGTTGCATCTGCTGCAACCTGCCGCTGCCGAACACTTGATGACACATTTCAGGTAAGACGAACAAGTGTGTTGCACATCTACAACTTCAACGGCACATGACTTCAGTCCGAACGAGTTGTAAACTGCAAAAAATGAATTGGAAACAATTGTCAAATTTGTCTGGGCGCATTTTAGCGTCAAAAAACTTAGGATGAAAAGTAGAAATTCAAAATAATATAAGAATGCCATTTTTAAATTAGGTACTGAAAACACTAAATTCTCGTTAAAAGAAGAGACACTTTATACAAAGTGCCTAACTAGAAAATGAAAAATTGTTTTCATACATTTTGTCATCGATTGGCGCAAATATAAAATGCAGGTTGTATAAAAGTGAATACGTTTAGCCGCACGCAAGCATTGCCGAGACACGCAACAGCGTAATTATTTTTCAAATTTATTTGTGGTTAGAATAATTAAATAAATAATATATCTCTATTTTATTACACGCACACACACACACGCACACGCACGCACACACACTCACGATGAATTAATTTTTTTAAATGTTTTTCCGGACCAATGCATTTTATAATACTTTTATTTTTCACTAATTGTCTCGAAACTTATTTTCATCCCTTCCTGTTTGTGTAAATACATATATGGTTCTAAAATTTTTGTTGTAACTTTTAGTCCGTGAAATTTTTTTATCTAAACTTTTTACAAAAATCGCACGTGTGCACGCGCATTTAGAAATTCGCGCGGCATATCTCTAGATACAGTGTTCGTAATACACCCATTGAATGGCTGGATGAACGCCTGCTACAAAAATTAAATAAATAATGATGATAATTTTTATGATGATGTGGATGTTGAACATGAATGTTATGAGTTAAATGATTATGGTGATTGTATACCGATATGTAAGTAATGTATCTATTTATGTATAGATATGCATATATAGGATGTACGTGTATATTTGTGTATCAAATTCAATACCGACAAACAAATTGTACACCAGCACCGATATTTCCTAGAACTAATGAATCACTTCAACGACAATATACAAGATATTTAATGGATGAATGCACGCTAATGGCATTTAATTCAGTTTTAATTGAAATTTAAAGTTAGATTTAAGTGACGTTGATACTTGGGCGACTGGCTAGCAACAATAGCGTCTAATTTTTCTCATCTCTGTGCACATAACGTCTATCGTATTATATCTTACAGAAACACAACCAGACCAATTAATTACTGCACTGCATTTCGGTTAAAAATGTTTTATATTTCATTTTTAGATGTGATTTTCAAAAAATTTATTACAAAAATATCAAACCAGGAATAAACTTAGAAATGAATTAAATTAATATTTTTTTTTCATAAATTGCAATATTTTTCCATAGGTACCCCTACATTGTAAAGTGGTATAATAAAACCGACCTAACTGTACCTTACAGTAGCTGAAACAGGTGAGGGGGCGGTGCGGGACTGCATCACCCCTACCAGACCATGAAAAAAAAATGACAAAAATTCTGTGAAAATCGGCAAAAAAGCTTCACGTATTTGTGAATTTTGAAAAATCATTCTTCACCACTGACTGATTACTAACAAATTTTTACTGTAAAGCGCTCATATATATAAATTATAACTAATTATAATTAATTAAAATCATTCATAATTAATATATAAATAATATGTATGGAAGTTCTTTGTTATGTTCTAGGTGCAATACAATGCCAACGATACAATGCCATCTAGGTTAGAAAATATTCATTCAATGTTGGGTTTTGAAATCGATCTCTGTGTACAGCACGCACATACAACATTGATTCTTTCGTCGCTTTTTTTAAATTCATTTATCAATCATGGCTGAAGACTTTGCGCTTTTGTCTCAACGAAATTATTTTTTATCGTTTTACTGATTCCAAAAAATGATCCTAAAAATAAAAATTTTTTTTACTAGGCTAATAATTCTATAAAATTTTATTTTTTTTTGCACCGACTGACTGATTGACACGTGCGACTTTGTGAAAATAGTTTTAAAAACTGGAATCAAACCATTTCAAAGTTTTTGTTCAGTTGCTGGTAGGTTTAAAAGCTTTTTCAAAATTGTCAACTGTTACAAAACCCAGAAATATCTGAAATGACATGATATATCGATAAATATCTGAATATAACATCCCGAATTTTTTTTACAATAGGAGCGGAGCGGCTCTGTCTTACTCTCTGTCAAAAAATTCAAGAATGAATTGTGTTTTCAGAGTAACATTTTAGGATTTTAAATAAGAAATTTGAGACAATTTATGATAAATTACCTCATACGATCATTTAATTTCACTATTTTTAATATTCTAGAACATTTCATTCGATAAAAACTCATGAAACGTGTTTAAAAATTGATCAAATTACTTACTATGTACTACTTCAAAAATTGTTTTTTTTTGAAACATTCAAATGTTGATGAAAAAATAATGTAAATGTTGTTTTTCCACACATCCTGATTTAAATGGCCACACCAGTGAAGCGATGGCACACACACTGGGCCCCACAAGAACATCTCAGGTCGCACTTCAATCCGTACATTCCTTTGTCGCAGACTGATAAAAAAGAATTACTTTGAATTGGAATAGAACTCAGTAAATTCTAGCTGAATGGTGGCGGAATGGTGTAGTGGTAAAGGTGCCTGGCACTGATGTCACAGTGAATGCTGAATGGATACGAATGCAAATAGATCCCCAACTATGAAATGCAAAGTTTGACGCGTTCGTTCACAAGCAGTGCGAGTTTATAAGGAGAATTGTTTGACAAATGTTGATCACGGAAATATTACTCTTAAATAAAATTATGCATGTTTGAATAAATCCTTTCTGGAGATTGTGTGGTTTACATTTTATATGTATTTGAAGCATAATTTAATTTTTAGTTTAAATAAAAGTTAGTATTCTTATTAGTGATAATGAAGATTACTTTATAAACGTTAAAAAATTGAAGATGCCAAAAAATATCCCACCCGTATAAACGCTGTTGAAGTTAGCTCCTCCGCAGATTTCGTTGGGATTCCCATCACAGGGACTGTTACATCCCGTTCCAACTCCGTACAATCCGTAAGAATCCGAACAGTAACATTCATTTTTGAACTGAAACGTCAATCAGTTGTACTTATAATCAGTTCGTACTTATAATCAGTTCTAGATTTATTTATGATAATGTGGAAATGTTTATGATCTTGAAATTTTAATTAAGTTGTTCGTGTAATTAATCAGGTTTTGGTGATGTTTTTATTAGGGTCGCCCAGATAGAAGGGAGGAGAGCAAAAGAATCAGATTTCCGCGGGCCACAAAGATTTGGGAGCTGTCGGATTGCAAATCCCAATGATTAAAACTAACAATCTTCAATAATAACTGTAAACACCGTGAGCTAACGAAGTGATTTGTGCGGGCTATATAAGAAACTGCGATAAACATTCTGATAGGTATTCGGGTTGCTGATGAGTCCCCGGTAGGGACGAAACACGTGTCCGGCCTATCCAAATGAATACTTTTCTCTTCTTCTTCTCACACCCGCTCACTGCTCTTCCTGGTTTGTTGTTCCCATACATGAGCCCAACCGCAACAGAGCCACGAAGATCGGGCGGGCTACATGTGAGGTTAATTAATTAACTATTAATAATAAAACGTTCGACGGGGCTTTTAGGTTCATAGACTTAGTTCCGTCTTTTGCTACGAGGCACGAAAGTTTTCTAGGCGACATTGTTTTTTAAACTGAAATATTAGTGATTTGTTCATATAATAAGTCTTTAATGATGTGTTTTTACGAATTAATCTCTGCTAATAATCGCCGTAGTTATAAAACCGTAGTACAATTTTTATGAAAGAAAATTTTATAAATGATTAAACTATTAAGACTTCTCATTAGAATTGTTATGATTTGATTTGTTAGAAATTACAAATTAAAATAAATTTTTTAGTTCAGTTTAAGTGGATGCATGAAAAGAAAACCAAGATAAACCTGAACTCCAGCAATTGTTTTGCCGTAATTGCGACAGTTATCACTGCAGAAGGATGGAGTCATTAAGAAGCTGTAGGTGCGATAAACTAGATCCCTGATGGTCTGATCATCTTTGTAACAGTTTATGTATCTGGAGGAAATTTCTACAACGTAGACAAAAAAATAAAATGTGTTATGTTTATGTCTTTATACAAGCACGAAGTTAATTCATAGTAGAACATATATACAAATAATCGCATTCCATACACGAGGGTGATTTGTATTTCAAAACATCGTGAAAAATTAAAAGGATTCAATTCACCGCTGTGAGACATCTGGCTGCCTGATCTCTATTTTTGTAAAAATTTAAATTTTTTTAAATTTACTCAAGTTTAATTGCAATTTTAAAGATCTAACTTATTTGAGTAACATTCGTGAAATATTGTTAAAAGTTTTGAGTTTCTACCGAAACTTTTACTGAAAACATATTCTGGTATGGCCAGCCTAACCTCGAAGTACACGCACATACCAGAGGCATCATGCTTTATGGCCACACTGCCTCTGCTTCTAAACATCTGACAGACTCTGGTATCTCGTTGGTAGTTGCATCCGATAACGTCATTCATTGACGTACAGGCTGACAGACATTTGAGTAAGGAGTCATAGGAATAGACATGCTGCAGATCTCCGAGGTCAGTCGCGCATGACTTCAAACCGAACGAATTCAGGACTGGTAAGAACTTCGATTCGACGATCTCAACCACGATTATCAGACAAACTTTGAATGGCGTAGACAGTTTCTTAAAGAACATCATTCTAAAAATATTAAAACAATTTACGATAATAATGCTGGATTTAAAATGAACTAAATCTACTTATTTAATTATATTAATACTTTCAATATTAAACACAACCTCATTAGCAAATGACGAGTCCAAACCTGTCCATTTTGTGCGTCTGCGGACTATATTTGAAATAATCACGCAAACAAGATAACAGCATGAATATAACAAAAAATTGGAGATTTGTGTTCTTTAATCAGAAAAAAGCATACCTGCATTTATTTTTTTCTCAAAAGATACAAAGGAAAAGGCAGGTAGAAAGATGTGGTAGGTTTAAGGTTACACGAGAGGTTGCGTGCCTATAAACATTTATCTCACAAAATCGTTCTGACGATTATATTAAATAATCTTTCGTAAAAAATCATTTTTTGTCAGAATAACATGAATGACCAATACTTGATGCATTTGTTTGTTGTATGTTGAAAGGACTTCCATGTCCAAGTACAAATAAATTATTCTTTTTTTATATATTAGTCTAATTAATATCTTGAAAATTTTGAAAAGTTCTAGAAGAACAAAAACATTTTTTAAATGTTTCGACATGGTCTTAGGAGGTACCTAACATTAAACAAAATCAAGAGCTGCTACTGAGGTAGCAAAAAATGTCGATTTGTTAATAATTTCTAGTTTATCATATTGTATGATCAATGTTCTCAATTTAAACATAGTTAGGTTTTTTAGATTTTCGAAAGAAATGTTTCTGGCTAACAGCTCAGATAGATACAGCGCTAACATTATTTAATAAATAAGTATTTCATCAAAGAATTATGATACCGTCTTATTACAATTGTAATTTCATAAAAAAACATCTCCAATGAAAATATCTGGAAGGAAAACATTTGAAACGTCTTTTTGAAAAGTAGTTTGACATGTTTAAATAAAACGTTGTTTAACGCCAATTTTAAACCAAAGCAGCAAAAAAGTTGTCAGATCGTATTCGCAGAGGACACGCGAGGTTTGTCACACGGCAGATCATCCCAACCCATGTACCCATTCATCATCCCGACCTATGTACCCATTCAGATAACTTTACACGCAGTTGTCCATCCACACCGTTCGCCATGGAGTTCGTTTTGCCAGCGTGCCAGCCATTGGAGCTCTGTATGATAGTGTATACATCTTTTTGTAATGAAGATTTTAAATTTGACAAAAAAATGATTTCTCAAATTTAAAAATGAAATAGCTATACAAATGCATTGTAATGAAATGGCTTACAATTTTTACTAAAATTAATTGAATTTAAGAAAATTTAAAAGGATTAATAAACAAGTGTGGTTAGAACTTGGATAGGAATTCCAGAGAAAAAATGAATCCTGATCCTATTAAAAAAGAATCCCACTCGTATAAAATGAAAATCCCATGACTACGCTACACATCGGATAGCCTGAAATCGTTGCAGAAAGCCATGGATATTTTTATTACGATTTTAAATTTTTAAAAACAGAAAATAAAAAATAACCTGGCGTTGTAAAGTTTTCTATAATTATGTAGTTCTTGACAATAACAGTCGAAGATTCGAGTATTAATAATATAAATACAATAATTTGAATGAATTCATTTTGAAGAATTTCATCACAAACTTGTTCTTAAAATTTAAAACTTATTGTAATTACTGAAGACAAAGTCGTAAGAAACAAAAATTCTTTAAAATATAGTCAGATAAATTAATTTAAAGCATGGAACGCATGACTGCAACCAGACCAACTACGGAACCTTTCATGGCTGGCTACTTGCCATGTTAAAACTCATTTTTCACTAACTGAATACTTGACGGTTCACAGTTATGACCACGTTTAATTTAAAAATAAAATTTTGCAGACAATTTAGTATTTGCATTGTGATTGGCTAAAACTGGAGCTTTGTTTTTCATTTATAAAATCATATTAAAATTAAGAAAAATTTCGAGATCTTCTTTTTTCTGAAAGTTTAATAGATTTTAGGTGAATTTCAAGTGAATTTAATTGAAAAAACAAACAAGAATCAAATTCTAGTGAGACAAACGACAGGAATTCGTCCACGTTTGACATGCAGCGAAGCATGCAGATGCTCGCTGAAATGAAGACTGATGCCGACCGTCGAGCAGAAGAACAATCCGCTAAAAGCGATAAACAATTCGCTAAAATGACGGCTAAGATCGATCAACGGATAGCCGAAACATGAGAAATGAGAGCCGAATTACGAGCGGCCAATGGAATAATACAATCAACCTTCGAAAAAATATCACATAACGATCAAAACAACTATACCAGAAACGGCTACAGAAGAGTCGGAAATTATTCTACCAGCGTATTCATTTGCGGATAGTGTCGAGAGCGACACACGTGGTGTCTGGGATACACGTGAACTATTCATATCTGCACTCGACTTAATCCATTCATCTTTTAATTCATCCAAACATTCATTTTTTATTTTTTTTCAACTCTTCAAACGTTAAATAACGATCGTCTGTCTGTTTCATAACATGTTCCACCAGGCATACGATTCATAATTGCATTCAGAAAATTTTTCCATTCAACGAACCAATCGACCCATGAAGAAATTGCTTTTTTTCCAAAATAAATTATCCATTTAAAAAGCACAACAAATAAACATTGTTGCTTGCACCTGTAAGATACTTTTTTGGTAAACTTCAAAATTTGATTTTTGTAAATTTAAATTGACAAAAGTGTTGTTAACAAATGTTGTATATTTTACATCGCCAGCTCAATAATAAAATGCGTTATTACAACGCTTAAACATGCCTCTCACGGATATTTGTTGGAAAAAGTCGATGAATTCTGTTAGATTTTCCGGAAAATTTATGAAGAAGTCGTTGAAGCAGCTTTAGAGGTTTTACATTAAATTGATGACACTTTATTTGAACACTGTTAAGACTTCCATACAGTTTTCAATTAATGACAAAATAACGTAAATGATTTCCTTATTCTAATACTTGTATTTGGCTTCTAATAGTTTTTCTGAATAAAGTCAAATTGAAAGTTGTACATTCAAATATTTCACCCATATTCATCTTGAACATTTGTTGTCTATCAAAGCACAATTTTACAGATTGTCACTACACAGACAAAATTTCAAGAATGAGCCAGCTGATAAAAAAAATATAAAACCAATGAAAATTAATGAAAAAAGTACCATAGTTTGAAGAATATAAATAGTAACAACTTCTTTGACGGATAAAACTTTTTGAATCAGCACAAACAGAAGGTTGAATGTTTTCTCTAAAACAGAATTGCACCTGCACCAACTTCAATTGACATTTTAAAAATCTCTACATTTCAATTCTGACGAGCGCCGTAAAATGTTTATTGATCGATTAAAAGCTATATAAATTTTTCCAGTTTAAAACATTTAAAAGCGTGTAAAAATTTTTTAAAATTATTTTTTATCTTCTTGTGAAATTATCTTTTACTACTTAGTTAAGAAAAAGAAAAATTTTTAATGAACTCTTTAATGACCCTGCAACCTTTTCAGTAGTATTGAAGGTTTTATAATTTAAACAGTAAAGTAATAAAATGTTCCTGCAATTTAAGAAGTATTCATAAAGTAGAGAAAAAAAGCTTTATAGAGAATTAGAGGATGAAAATTATAATTTTCATGTTCAGCTTAAACAGTTATTGAAATATGAATACAAAGAAGATGACAAAACGTCTCACTGTTATCAAGTAACAACATTGATGGTGTTAGGTTGACAAAATTTTTCATGAAATTAGACACTGGAATCTGTTAACAGTCAAACAATTAGGACCTGGAAAATTTAATAAAATAATCATAATAAATTAAACTCGGAAAATGTTATACTTTTAATCAATCATTGCTTCAAATATGCTTGTAAATATGCATTTGTATGTGTGTGTGTGTTTGTGTGTGCTAGTGTATGTGTATATAGCCACACGTATTATAAATTTTTATTATCCTCTCCACATAAATTTGCGTATAGCACGCAATAAGACGGAATGTTATTCAACAAAAAGATCGATCTTTTTCTTCTCGAAAAATGCACACGTCTAGGGTAAAAATAATAAAATTTTTAAAAGATCAACTATCAAAAAAATTATAGATATTCAGAAAAATTCAGCGTGTGGCAGAGATGTACAAATTTTATTTTATTGAAGGCCCGAATAGAGTCTAATTTTAAGATAATTTATAAAAGTTCTTTAGCAAAAAGATGCATCTTTAAATTATAACTAATGACTAAATTGTTCAAAATTATTCAAAATTTCATACACGCATGATGAACAGACGAATCTGTTTGTATATATATATATATATATATATATATATATTTAAACATACATATATACATACATATATATATATGCATTAGTCGAATCGTTTTATGTATTTCTTTTATATAATTCAAAACACAAATTCTCCAATTCTTATTATTTGACTCTATGATTTGTATTTCACTATATTTCTATTGTTAAATAAGTTTGTATTCTTTCTTCGTTAATGTTTGATTGTTGTAAAGAAAGAAATGAAGAGACATAATAGCGCTTTTAAAAATTCGCAAAGAAAAGTATTGTGACAACGTTTACTTGGCTCATTCCTTGTTCGGCTATTCAGCGCTGATGATGTTGTTCCTCTTCCTTTTTATCTCCGTTCACCGCGTTGGATGTTCAGTCATTGATCAGGACAATGTGGCACTCGGCAAAATGGTTCTTGAAAGTTCGTCTGCGAGACTCTTTCAAGGTTTCTTGGTCGTTGATGGTCTGCTGGAGTTTCCATTCTGTTATTCATCAGAAGTGTCGGACCATCAGTGGATTCAAGTTGATCTGATTTGGTCATATCTGGTTGAATCGGTGGAAATATACGGAAAATCTTCTACAAGTCAGAACTTATTTTTAATACTTATTTTTGTTCCTAACAGTTAAATAATTATAAATTGAAACTTTCCAACAGATGAGTTGATTGTCAGTCTGAGAGATTCGACCAACAGAAGGACCGCACCATGCAAAAACTTAACCAGCCAACTGGCAAATATCAACGTTACATTCCAGTGTTCAAACCCTGCAGAACATGCTAGCAGGTACATCAGAGTTGACCATTACAGCAGTCCCAGCGGTAACATGAGCATCTGTGAGGTGGTCGTCCGTGGTCAGCTTGATGGAAGTTTGTGTAATTTCTTTCATCGTTTATTATTCCATAATTTAAAACTTGTAAATAAATAATTTTCAATTATGAATTGCAAATTAAATATAAATTAAGAAATTTCATTCAATTTTTAAACTTGACCTAAACGTGAAAATTCTATGTCGACTAACTAAACACAGTCCGATTATCATTTGTTATCTTCCCTGCTTTGGGCTTTTTGACTTGTGGTTTTTATGAAATAAATTTAATTTTTGTCCATAAATGAAAAATTAGTAAAATTCAACACAGGAGAAAAGTAAATTTTACGCTAACACAAGTTTTTAATTCGTGCTATGTATAGAAATCAACGAAATGGTGAATTGGAGCAATGGTTTCCAAAGTTAATTTGGGAATAAAATCTGTTTAAACCGGGATTTTAAAAATTATCCACATTAATCAAATATCCGGATTAAAAAGCCTAGAGTTAAAATGATTTTGATTTTTTTAGGTCTTAGCAATATTAAACTCTTCATTGAAAACATTTCAAGGCAATAATCCGCGGACCAATCTACTTTTGAAAAGGCCCGCCCTCATGAACAGTTCCATCAACGCCACAAACGTCCTCACCAACAAATACATGTTGTTCGATGCCACTCTGGTGGTCGATGGCATAAGAGATGTCAACATAGACCACGGACACTGTGCCCACAGCGGCGAGGTGGGATTCGCACAGAACTGGATGCAGGTGGACATGGGTAGGGATTATGTCGTGGACTACATTGCTCTCGTCAGCAGATGGACCACCTCCAACAATGGTTATTGTTGGAAATGTTGAAGTCTATCACTCATTATTTTGTTACACAAATGTATATAGCACAAAATTAATACATTCGAACATTTTATAACACCAATAAAAACGCAAAAATGTGCCAAATTAGAAACTTTCTCAGAATTAAAATAACAACTTCAACGAAATTTTTCATCAAAACGACAAGGAATGTGAAATAGCTTGATGGAATGTGAGATAAATAAATTTTCTCGCGAATAAAATCATTTTTTATAATATAAATTTCATTTTGAACCAAATTCAGTGCCTCGGCGTGTATCCAACTTCATAATTGGGCTGACGTCACAGATCGCAACCGAGGTACCACCAACGAGAGGCGAGTACCCCCTGTGCAACAGGTACCCAGGGGCTGTCCCCAAAGCATCCAGAGTCACCCTCCAATGCAGTGCCAACCTGCCCGCCTACCGTTACATTATTGCACATCAAGCCGTTGGAGCCTATGACGGATATTTTTCTGTTTGTGAGTTGGAAGCTTATGAACCGATGCCCCAAATGATCAACCCCCATAAACGTTAGGGAGAAAAATTTTAAATGTCTGAATTTTCAAAATGAAAATGTCACTTTGCAAATCCACAAATGTAGTAAACGCAAATAAATTATTTAGACATAGGTCTTAATAAAAAAAAATGAAAAAACATCCAAAAGTTTAATCCTTCTCATTAAATTGCACATGATTTGGAGTTCTCGACGCGTCATTTAATGTAGACTGGCCTCGTTCTGCGTTTGAACCAGTAAATACATTTTAGGACACACCGCCTTTATTCATTACTCCAACAAGCCCCCAAAATAGATTACTATTACTAAACTTCCAGGTCATATAACACGTTAAATAAATAATCTTTACAAAAAAAGACAAAAAATCGTAACTATAAGTGTTTAGTTTATATTGTTTTGACTATGTTCAATCGATATTTAAATTAAAACTTTGCAGAATTAAAATGGAACTCAGAAGAAAACTTCCAACTAAGGAACTACTCATTTGTCGAGTTTCCATCGGGCAGACCATCATTCTGCATAGCCCGCTGCATGGCTTTGGGAGATTTCGAATGTGATTCGTTCAATTTCAACGACCAACTGATGATCTGCCAGCTGAACAAACACAGGAATGGATTTCAAAATGAAAGTTTAATTTTCAGTCCAGATTGGTCCTTTTGGAATGCCACCTATTACAACTTGGGCAGTTTGTGAACAGTCATCTTATGCCACAGAGCTAATGTCGCTTTAGTTTATTTGCTGGGTAAAACAGCAAGAATTATAAATATCCATATTTAACGGTAACAACATTAGCCAAGAAGACAAATATTTTTTTAACACTTCATATTTGTGATATTCTTTGTAATATTTAGAAATGTCCAGAATTAATATTATTTTTCAATTTTATAGCAATAATTATTTATATAGCCAAATTCAACTAATGGAAATATTATTTTAATGAAGACAGTGAGAACTTCTTAAAGACGCCATCTACTTAATAAATTGTTTCAATCATTTCTATCATTGTATATGTTTTTCAATAATTGAAGTGCAAAAATGTTTCAAAAACCAAATAGTGTAATTGGTTAAATTTATTGTCCAAACTTTTAATAAGCCAAAAACAGTACAAAACACCTTTGTTGAAGAACTTTCTTAGTTTCATATCATTGTTAATTAAGTTTGGTTATCGTGATAAAATACCTTGACAGAGTAATAAAATTTGCAGCTACATACGAAGAAAAAATAATGGACGACCAGATAACATCGTCGAATCATCCCACCATTGATGATAATATACGTCAATAAATTGTATCCCCACTCTACATAAACCTCAAATTGTAAACAAAGAGACGTTATATCTGTCGGACAATTACAAAATTTAACGTCATTTCATTCTTAATATCACTAACTGAAGTGATAGAAAGTTGAAAAGAAAAGTATTTTTGCCCACAAATCAAGTCAACATGTCAAATTCACAGAGCACTCACAAAGAACGATTGCATATCAGATCGTCCCATCCTATATAGCCGAATAGGTTATTCTGCACGCAGTATTCGGCTGGATCTGCGTTCGAACTCGGTTCGCCGGGTTTAATATAAATGAATCCCATACAGGATATCCTGTCATAACATTCTGCATACAGGAATCTAAACCAACATCAACAGAGTTTGACTCTTCACTACACCACACCCTTGAGTCTTCCATCACCTTATAGATCCGCGTTCAGTTTTACTACATGCTATCAACTTGCTACCAATTCACTTACATAGAGCAGCGTTTAAATTTTGCGGTAATTTAATGTAAATGATCTGTTGACAGTTTAATAATGAGCAAATATAATGAAAGGGTAATTTTTTAGACTTGTATTTATGTAATCACAAGCACAATAAGTTACCCAAAAAGTGATTTAAAAAGATAAAATCTCATTTAGATCATACTCCTTAAAACCCCCAAAAAAAGTAAAAAAAAATTGTTTTGCACAGACCTGGATAGATTGACCAGAAAAAGTTACGATAACCACTTGTGTAAAAGACGAGCCACATAGTTACGATAACCACTTGTGTAAAAGACGAGCCATTCTGTCCAGCTAAGTTTGAACAAAAGCGGAAAGATCATAAATAAAAAGATCATCGACTATAAGTGCACAGGAGATAATCACACAAAAAATTGAAATATCCTACCAGGAGTTATTTGAGTAACATATTTCAAGGTTTAAAGATATGGTGCTTTCTAGGTCATCTTCTAGTACCATCAGATGAGAATTTTAAATGTTGTTGCATATCGATTTTCCATTACACCAGTTTAGAAGATATTTTAATGCATTAATTTATAAATATTAAAAGTGAATAATTCAATTTATTAAAATTATTAAAAAATTAAAAAGTTCTGAAAATGAGTCAATTGACTGACTCGGCTATTTAAATAAACGCAGTTTCACAGAAAAACGATTTTAAAAATTTTTTGAGTTAATTTCAAAGTTAGGACTTTTGATGGTCTCTATTCCGTTAATTGAAATAAATGTACATTATATATACCTATAGCATATCAAAATAAATTTGTAATGTATAAAAAATTTAAGATTTGTTTCCCAAACTTTTTAAAATTAAATATTAAAATTGATTGGTCCCAGCAGTGACAAATGTTGGCAGACTGTTTTGTTTAATTTTTGATTTATAACTCCACAAACGATTTATTTCGTCGTAATGAATAATTGAGCAATCCGTTTATTCATTCTATTTATTTATTACAATTTTCTCTTCAATGTTTCTTTTTGAGGCAACAACAACAACACTAAACACACATTAGGCATGTTAATACACGTGGAACAACGCATCACACACAATGCATGTGTTAGTTCAGGATTTCTTTGCAATCGAATATGGTCAATGCAATATTAGAGCCAGGCAATTTCCGCTACACCGTCTCTGTTATCATTAAATGTTCCGTGTTGTTTTTTATCATAAACTACAATAAAAATAACTACTATAAAATATTAATAATAAGCATTCTAATTTGAGTCAGTTGATCTAGCTTATTAAGCATTGCAAAAATTCGGAAATGAGAAAAGTTTATAATTTTTCAACATGGTCTAATTGAAATTCAAAATGATTCTTTGAAGAAATGTTTTAAAACACAAACAAATTTATGCCTCTCCCAGTTTTTTAATTTGTAACGTTCTACAGAATGACTGTACCATCGAGACGGTGGCACACACACTGAGGACCACACGGACAACTCATATTGCACTTCAGTCCGTACATTCCTCTGTCGCAAACTGCAAATATCGAAAGATAAAATTGAAATTTGGTACAAAAATTATTTCTGTTTATCCGAATTATATTTGTGAACTTGTCATTTTTCTAATGTAAATCATCGTAATTTAACTAAATATTTGTAATGAATATTCAAAACAAATAAACACGCACCAGTATAGACACTGTTCAAATAGACCCCTCCACAAAATTCGTCTAATGCCCCCGTACATTTACTGTTACAACCAACACTTTGGCCATATCTCCCAAAGAAATGAGTGCAAAAACAGGTGTAAGAATACTGTTTAATAGGAAGACTAAATTCTTTTGAGCGTTTGTTTTGAAATTAAATCAATGGTATACAATTCAATGTTTTGTTAGAGCAGATTCTATTCAAATGTTTAACGTTACATGACAATCACGCTTTATAAAGCTTTAAAGTTTTAGAAGCAAATGTGCTGATTATGAAAAAGGGTGAACCAGGCAATATGTTTTGTTAATATGTCGTCTACAACAATTGTTAATCAGTAAATCACAACGAAACCTGCGTTCCAAAAACAGTGTAGTTGAGATCAATACAGGCTTTCCAGCATTTGGCAGTTGTTAGAGCGGACAAGTCGTCGAACGCTTTTATAGAAAAATCCCTGTTCGGATTAGGCTTGTCAGTGTAGCAGCCAAGATAGTTGGCTTTAACATCTTTTGGAGATTTTTAACAATTCATTATCAATTTGTTGGTATAATTATAACAAACTTGACAGTTTAATAAGTTGTTAAATATTAGGTGGGCTTAACGTCAAATGAATAAATGAACGTAACAATTTCCAGAAATAAATCATCATCAGTTACTCATTGTTAGCATATTTTCAGCATTCGATCTTTCATCCTTTATAAATTAAAAGAAGTTACCGTTTAAAGATAATCCAGTGGCCAATTTTTTGTTCTGCCGGTGATTAAAAACATTTCAATTAGTGTTTAAATTGCTTAATTAATTAATTGCATAATTAATTAATTATTGAATAGTTTTTTCAATTAATTTTTCAATTAATCGTTCATTTACTCTATTTATCAATGAAAAAGTTTCATCATTCTTTAACAATTACAAAAAAGAAAACGTCTCCAGAAATTGAATTACTCAGACGCTCTTTTGTGTCTCAAGATATGAACAGAAAATACATCAAAAAATTTTTAAATGAAGTTTTTATTGTCTCTGAAATTTATCTCTTCACAATTTTAAATGATAATTAAAGAAAGATATGCTGGAGCGTTTTATTTTAATTCATTTTCTATAAAGCTATTGAACGTCCAAATACTACATTGAATATATTAAGTTCCTTTCGTCCGTCGCCTCCTGACTAAACTTGCATTCTTGTATCTTTTGATGCAGTAGCTACGTTTGTTTGTTGCTGCTGCATTTGTTAAACGTATAACTTTTGTATGCTGTTTAATTTGTGGTAAATGTTTATGTTTGGTTTAACGTGGAGGTCCCTTAGTTTGAGTTTTTTTTAATATTTTGAAATGTTAAACTTAAAAAATTTTTGTTTTTCTATAGCCAATATTTAAATTAAATTAGATAGCTAGCTTATTGATAAATGAAAATATGTGGTTATACATGAAATCACATCTCATAAGAATTACCATTTTACATCTTTGACTTTGTGGGAATTGTAAGTTCAGAAGTGGCAGAATTTTCATAAAAACAAAAATTTCAATAAACAGTAGATGAAATAAGAAAACTCGTTCTTACTTCCAGATGACCTCATCAACCGTTTAACACATCACGCGTCCATCTAATTGCATCTCATCACCTAACAACTCGAAATAAAAAACTTTATGCATGACACATTCATTTGAAACTCGTTTGAAATAAGTATTGATCAGTTGTTTTTAGACTCAATAAATCCGCTAGTTAGATTAACAACAACAACAACAACAAAAACAACACAACAACAACCACAACAACAACAACAACCACAACAACAACAATTATTATAAAACATTTCATTGCACATACATACATAAAATTATCATAGTAAAGGTTTTTTGAAGTAAGAAAATGAAAGTTATTTCAAAAAATTTTTGAAAAAAAAACATAATACCTGATATAAGACGCAGGTATTTAGCGTGTTGTATCTCGTTGCGAGTTTTGTGCAATTGACGAAGAGCGAGCAACTCTTCGAACCCGCCTGGTAGTTGCATCCGACGCAGTTGATCGTATTTGAACATTTAGCTGCACATTTCAGGCAAGAGTTGTACCCGAACACGAGCTGGATATTAGCAACATCAGCCGCACATGCCCTCAGGCCGAAAGCATTCGTGTAGACTGAGAAGACTGAGAATAAAGTCGGTGAAACGCTGTTCAAGAAAATACTTGCTATAAAAATATTCACACAATTAAACATTTTCAGTGTTAAACTTTTCAATTCGTTTAGAATGTCTTACAATATTACCGTATGAAATATTTAATTTTTGTAAAAGTACCTTATTATTATTCAATTTATAGTGAGACGTGATAAAATTTCATGGCTTTGGCATATTTATGGCTTATTTTATATTTCATGGCTTAAAGTTTTGTGTTTCATGACTGCAAAATGTTAACGATGCTTTCACAAAAACGACGCAAATTTAATGAGAATCGATCGGATCTCATTGTTTTGCAACACGGTGAACAATGTACCAACTATCATATATCAAATTGCATTTAAAATTTGTCCCCGCATATCCTAATTCAATTTTAATAATTTAAAAATTAGTTTTAACCAACTGTTCATTTTTATTTAAACCGTTAAATTAGCATTCAAGATAACAAAATGTAAAATGTTACATTTATTAAGTTCTAATTTGGTATTTTTCCATTCTACTTCTTCTTTCTCGCGCCTTATCCTTCCAGGACATTGGCAGCCATTGACCTCTACAAAACCAGATCTTTGTTGAAATGTGGTGATATCGTTGAGGTTGCGCTGATGTATGAGAACACCAAACTAGGAAGAGCAGTGAGCGAGAGAAGAAAAGAATAGTATTCGTTTGGATAGGCTGGACACGTGTTTTGTCCCAACCGGGATTCATCAGCAACCAGAATAGTTATGACCGTTTCTTATATAGCCCGCACAAATCACTTCAGTAGCTCATGGTGTTTTTATTTTTTTTATTACTGAAGATTGTTAGTTTAAGTCGTTAGGATTTTCAAATCCGACAATACTCCCTCACCAGATTGTCGCGTGTTTGTTGGCGACGTGATGGATGAGGTTGAATTGCCGGGATCAATCCTGTCTTACAACTATTACATGCGCTGTCTTTATATGCTACGAAAGCGTTCGCATGTCACATACTATTATAAAAATAGCAACTTGTTGGCCATAAAACAACTCTACAAATTAATAGCATTAAAATTTATGTATAATATTTATAAACATTCAATACAAATTAAAATCATGAAATTTTTTAGTAGATATGACAGTGTCAAAAATTTAAGGAAAAATTATATCTTTTATAAACCATTTGCTAAGTTAAATATTTCTAAATCTTCTATTTTTTCTGAATAATCTGCTTTAAGATTATATGTTAATAAACAATATCAAACTTTTTATGAAGAGTATCAAGTGTATGTTATTATCAGCTGATTAAACGTTATTCAAGAAACATTTATTATGTTAATTTTAGCTACTTACATTTGACGAATATTGACACTTAATTTTATATTAATATTATTCAGACTAATGTTTTGGTCAACTAATGTTCTATATGTTATAATTTATATAAATTTACATTTAAAGTGTACAAAGAAGTTATTAAAGATAAAAACGGAAACATCCTAACAGAAAGTAAAAAGAGTAAAGATAGATGGACTGAATATAATACAGACTTGTTCACAGAAAAAAATAAATACAAAAAAAACGTTTGAAGATTTGAAAAGCAGAAAAATAATCAATAAAGAAGGAAATGAAATAACGAGAAAAAAAATCAGTAGAGCAATGAGTAAAATGAAGAACAACAAAAGTACAGGGAAGGATCGTATTCCGATAGAACTGATAAGAGCAGAAAGACAAGTCGTGTGTCAAGAAATTTGGGAAAGTGGAGAGTGGCCGGAAAAATGGTGCAAGTCAGTTCTGGTTGTGCTGCCAAAAAAGGGAGACTAAAAAGACTGTAATAATTACAGATCAATTGCACTAATTCCGCACATATGCAAGACCATCATAAAAGAACGACTGGAAAAGATCATAGAGCAACATCTACAAGAAGAACAAGCAGGTTTCAGAAAAACAAAAGCACGATCTAACAAATTTTGATGTTGAGACTGCTGATGGAGGATGCAAAAAGTAGCGGTCAGACAAACGTTTGATTTTGTCTGGCATGAAGGTTTGTGGGCAACATTAGAAAGTATGGGGACATCAGAAAAGCTGGTCAAAGTACTGAAAGGGCTTTATGAAGAATTAAAAATGTCGGTAATAATAGGTACAGAACTTAGGGATTGTATAAAGGCAGACATTGGAAGCAGACAGGGCAATCCAATATCACCAATACTATTCATAGCAATGAAAAAATGGAAAATTCGGAATTGAGTAGAATTAACTTAGGAAGCTGTATTGCAGTCATTGCAGAATCGTGCTGCAAAGGTTGTTGTCGGCGGTTTAAAATGTGATCATGTATCACCAATACTGAAACAACTGCACTGGCTAACCGTAAAAAAATAATCTTCAAAATATCAACTCTAGTCTGCAAGTCAAGAAATCGTCTTGCAAAATTTTATTTGTCAGAAATGTTTGCAAAAAGTTGGCATCTCCTTCTGAAACGCATCTGAGGTCTCATGATCTGAACCTGCTGCTAGTCCCAGTTTCGTGTCTTCATATGGGGTCTGTAACATTGCCGTCTTGGGACCGTCTGTTTGGAACAATTTGCTTGCCTTTCTAAGAGATCTAGAGTCGAACTTGCCCGATTTTAAAAGAAAACTGAAAACTTACTCATTTTCGTCGTAATTCATTGAACTTACTTGTTTTAGTTATAACGGAGTGATTTATTTTCTTTATTGTGCCATGTTAGATTAAGGAAATAATGAAGACTGTGTTTTTTTTCTTATAATTTTTTCGTTGAAATGCACTGATGACCCTTTGTTTTTGTTGATCATGCCATGATGTTTTTTTGATAGCGCTTTTAAGATCCTTTGAATTAGCGCTTTATTAAATTTTTCATTAATAATAATAATAATAATAGTAATAATAATAATACATACATACATACATACATACATACATACATACATATATGCATGCATATATACATACATACATACATACATACATACATACATACATACATACATACATACATACATACATACATACATACATACATACATACATACATACACACATACTCATCGCTGATTTGGTTTTAACATACATACATATATACATTCATACATACATACATACACACATACATACATAATATATACAATTACACACACATACATACACGCACACACAAAACATACAAATAAACATACATACATATATACAGATATTTGTATGTAAGTAGGTACGCTTCAACATCAGCAATATTTTACGCAGTCATAGAAACAAGTGCGACAATGAATCAAGCAATCAACCAGCTTAAAACCGTTGCTATTTGTATTGGTAACTATAATTTATCATAATTTTTAATATAATTAATAAATAATGTTAATATGAAACACACAGACAAACGACTGAATACATACAAACACATTCACACAAACATTCACACATATACGTAAATAACACAGAGAAGTAAGAAAAAGAAAGAAGGAGAGAGAGAGAGAAGAAGAGAGAAAGAAAAAGAAAAAAAGCGAGAGAAAAAGAAAGAGAGAAAAAAAGAGAGAAACACGCATATATCACAACATATATCAAAGGCAAATCTGGGTTTTCAAACTTTTTTCGCACACTAAAGCAAACAAAACACACGCACACACACCACACACACACAAACATACACACAAACAAAAAAGTTTTTGATCTACCTTGAAAGAATTGAAAAATTTAAGTAAAATCAGACACGATGAAGTCATGGTAACTGTGATAAGGCTCATAGCGAGCTCATGAAGCTAGCCACTTGAGCCCCAAATGCAAAGAGCGAATCGAACGTGCTTACGTAAGGATATTTTAACGCATCTAGGCATTTAAAGGACAAATTTGATGTAATGTGCTTACTTTTAAATTTAGATTTTCTAAATGTAGTTTTAGTTTAAATACTGCTACTAAATTACTCAATTACTACTGCTGTTACAGCTACCATAAGTTATTAGATTTATATTCATTATAGATTAAATAATAGTGTGAACGATTCTGTTTTGCTTTGTAAGTCTTTGTAAGTCGTTATAGTTTGTCGGCATCGTAAGATGAGTTCTGACGACGTAATAAATCCAGATGATGACAAGAAAAACAACAATAACAACAATAAGAATAAAAAGAATAATAATAATGAAGACGAAGAAAAAGACAAAAATAACGATAATAAAGGCCGTGTCACCTATGGTACTATTACCGTAACCAGAGGCGAGGCTTGTGACGTCAGCGAAAGTATCGGTGCTAGTAGTAGTAGTGGTTATGGTATCAGTAGCAGTGATAGTAGTAGTAGCAACATCAGCGTTGAACCGATTAGTAGCAGTGGCACCCCCTCCAATTTGGGACAGTCCGAGCACCGACTTCCACCAACTCCGAAGTGAGTTTTGATAATGATGATGTTGGTGATGATGGTAATGATGATAACTACGATAGTGATGATAATGATGCTGGTGATGAGAATATTGATGATGATGATGTCGATGATGATGATAATGATGATGTTGGTGATGATGATAATGATGATAACGACGATAATGTTGATGATAAATGTAACGATTATGACGATTGTGATGGGTAGCAAGTTTATGATGAAAAATTTATAAAAATGATGAATATGGCGATGATAGTGACAAATTTATTTATTAAAATAGGAATAGGTTTGTGCTAAGAATAATAATTAAGAGTAATAACAAACAGAAAGACATTTAAATAAAAGGAAATAATTTTTTATTAAAACTTCAAATTAATTATTACATTATTAAAATTACAAAAATTATTTATAAAGAAAAACTTTAAAAAGAAAAAAAATACAGGCAGCCAGTTCAAGGGCAAATCCAGTTACAGCGAGAAGAAAATTAAACTTCGACTCAGCAACCGGTCAATCTTCAACACCCACCCTACCTCCTCCTGTCGCCAGTGCTTCGGCACCAACAGAAACTTCAACAGCAGCAGGGTTGAGTTCAATTACTACCTCTGGACCTTCTTTTTCTTCGTCGTCAACCCCAATTGGGGAGTTGTTTGAGTCCGACCAGAAGTACAATTCCAAGAAGTACAATTTTGATTTCAAGGAAGGCAAACCACTTGCCGGCGAGAATTATAAATGGTCATCAAACAGAGGTGACGGCGATCGTGATGACGGCGACGACGATGATGATGGAGGAACTGAACATGAGCAGAAGAAAAAGGACGATGAATGAGATAATAATTTCGCCATGCTGTGCTTGTCTGAAATTGAACAAGTGGAATGGAGTTATTTATTTTATTTCTTTGCTTAAAATAAAACTATAAATTTTAAAAACTCTAAATGAGAATAAATATGTTATCGCAGAGTAAAAAAGAATAAAATTTAAATAATACGTACTTTCAAAGTATTATCTTGATGTGATGTCAACTTCACTCTAGCTAGTGTATTATATATATATATATATATATATAGTATATACTTATATATATATACTAATATATATATATATATATATATATATGTTGTCATGAAAATTATCTATGTTGTAATATGCATGTAAAATTTAACCTATATGAAATTAATATTTAGGTAATAAAAATTTTGAAATTATTAGGCAAACACACACGCACGCACACACACACACACAAACGTTTGACTTTTGCTCGTGCCCCTTTCTTTTCTCATATATCTCCATATCTTGTTCTCTTGCACTGGCTACCTATAAAATATAGAATAATTTTTAAAATTTGCACGTTCGTGTATAAGTCTCAATCTAAATTATTTCCTAAGTACTTATCAGATATATTAATTGAACCTAAACGCCCCGGTTTACGATCGTCTTCTTCTTCTCGCTTTTTCTTAACTCGTGTTAAACACTCTTTTGCCAAATCTGCTTTTGCTTTTTAACAAACACTTTACTACACATAATTTTATTGTCTTTTTTCGTACAACAAAAGTTTCAATTAGATTTATCGTAATCAATAAGCGAGTGAATTTTATAATAAAATCATATTTAACACACGTATTTAATCAATAATCCATTGAAAAAACTAGTTTTAGTGTTTATTAAATAATAGTAATAATAAATATTAATAAAATAATCAAATGATCATTCAAAATGAACCACTACCGAGCAATATAACTTCAAAGTAAGAAATTATGTACTGTTATATACGCAGATAACAAACTGTTCACAATGTCTCTAAAACATTAGAACAAATAAAGCACACAATTGCTGATTCTTATCATGATGGATGAATGTGCGGGGTAGGCAGATGTGAGGGCATCTGGAGAGCAAGATGTTCAATGAATTGTACTGTTACACATCTGAGCTTTTCTTACAGTATGAAACCCATGTTGATGTGGTGCAAGATGTTAATCCAGTACAGACTTATTAGTCATAAGGGCATTTTTCAGCAATGGAATTACTGAATAGACTGAACCTTTCCTAAGCTCACTAATGTACAAGAAGATGTAAAAATAAGATTTCAGCAGATCATTTTGAATGGTCAGCTCATAAACTCTGCACTTGTTCATAAATCATGAAATAGCTGTGATGTTAAGCATATCTCAGCAATAATAGCAATGGCAACTGAGGTGCAAAACGATTCTGTCTTTTCAAGTACTTTTCAAGTTGTTCAGCAGGATGGCTAGGGCACTTTATGGTCTGAAAGTGTTGGTAAAAATGTTTTAATTATGTTATGCTGAAAAAAAAATGGACTTTTAGGCATGATTGACAATGAAATTAGTTACAAAATCTAAACTTTCATATGTACATTTTGAAATGTAAAATTAGTTTTTTCTTTACATTTGTAAATGTAAAGAAAAAAAGGCATGAATGACAAATTTTAAAATGAAATAAAACAAGAACCTAACCTTTTACCAGAACTTCATGGCATTGGAAATCTGCTGTCTGGCTTCCGCTGTTATGCTGTTTTTTTAATCTCCAAATAATATTCACAAGAGAATATTCATGACTATGTCTTGGAAATAAAATAAACAATAAAAAACTTTAATAAAATTAAGAATCATTAATCTACTAACTCTTTAAATTAAATTCTGTAGATTCAAAATTTAATTTATCAGTTGCCGCTCTCTGTAAATGTAAAGTTTAGTCATGTTTGATTATTACATTGAACTATATATTCGCCAAGTTACTAAAAATTTAAATTGTCATGTGCCAGGATATAGTTCAAAAAGTATAGTTTATACTTTAGTTAATTATCGCGTAAACAAGCATAATTGAAAGTATTATTTGTCAGTGATACTCTAATTTTTGAAAAATTGTAATAACAAACGTTAAAATAATACTCACAAACCAACCATCTTCCTAATCCGAAGCTATTAATCAGCCGAAATCTTCTTTAATTGCAAGCAAACCAGCCAGAGTGCTAGACGAAATAAGGCCGATGGAGAATTAATCCATTGAATTTATTTTATTAAAGCATAGAAAAAATATATGAAAATTAATAAAAAATATATAAAAATTAGTATTTTATCTAAAGGCCAACTTTTCTATCAAAGTTGAAGTATAATGACAAAAATATACAAAAATACACACATATATGTACAATTTTTGTACATAATACTTTGTCAAAAAATCGTCATTTTCAAATTCGAATGAGTCTTTTTAACGGTTAAAAAGCGCTTGAGTAAATAAAAAAAGAATTCTTTTTTTTGCACGCTTGGAGTCGGCGCATGCTCGTAGGCCTATCTATAGCGTCTGAGCGTTGCACTATATAAGGAGCAGCTCAGGCGCGTCTTTTCAGTTCCGCTGGTTGTAATTTCGGGGGAGGTGCGCCGGTTCGTCTTTTCGCTTGCCACTTGTCGTCTGCCTTTGCCGCGGTTGCTTTTCTCGAAAAGAATCTGGTATTTGATGATTTTTTCATTTAAATATGCTATGAAATTTATTACAATTTGATCTTTGAGGATTTACTAAAGTTTGTGAATGAAAATTTGCCGGTTTTAATTGGCAGTTTTGGGGTTTTGAAGTGCGCCATGAGTGTTCGTCGCCATTTTGTCAAACTTATATTAAAATTTAACATCAAATCAAGTCGCAATGACTAAGTATTTAATTATTAAATACTTAGTCATTGCGACTTGATTTGATGTTTTTTTCCAATTATATATGATTTATAAATGGAAGATTAAGAATTTGAGACACTCAGCAGCAGATTCCTAAAAAGATGTTAATTATTTTGAGATGTGCAAAGCCCATTATGATTATAAAAAAAATGAATATGGATCCTTTTTCATATCTGCTTTCCTCTCTTTTTCTTCTAGTTTAATTTAATGACTTTAATGGAGAGTTAACATAAAAGACATTTGCTAACAATTACGTTTTATTATAAAACTTTTATTAAAAGTTTTATGATAAAACGTAATTGTTAACAATATATTTATCAACTGTGACTAATTGTAGAATTTAATTATTATTTAATTGTAGAATTTAATTATTATAACATTACTTTTGCCACTACTGTTTCTAGTCCTATTAATACTTCTGCTTCATTTAATCAGAGCTCAGTGCACCGTATCAGAAGGCCTAGGATGGGCTCTACCATTGAAGTCATCTACATTGGCCAAGATTGAAAAGATAAGTTTTAGTGTACTGAGTGTTGAATGTGGTATACTGTGTTTCTGATGTGTTAATTGTCTTGATTTATATGTGAATGTGTTTGCTGTTGAATTTATGAATGATTTTAGAAATACAAAATAAATTTTTTTCCTTGCTGTTTCAATTCTTGGCTTATTTTTTGTTGAAGTTTTGTTTTTACTAACACTTTTTAATATGATTATATAACAATCATACAAATCACACACATAGGTACATGACATGCATAACTCATCAACGTTGTTTCATTTTGTTTTGTCTTATCTTCTTTCCTTTTTCTAACTCTTAAAGATATTAAGTTATTAGGTGAGTTAATTTAATATAAGTAAGTTGAGCTACAATCAATTGCTTATAGGCAGGTTAGAGTCTGAGTGTAATCAATTGACATAAGTGCATAGCCCGCTGCATGGCTTTGGGAGATTTCGAATGTGATTCGTTCAATTTCAACGACCAACTGATGATCTGCCAGCTGAACAAACACAAGAATGGATTTCAAAATGAAAGTTTTATTTTCAGTCCAGATTGGTCCTTTTGGAACGCCACCTATTACAACTTGGGCAATTTGTGAAGTCATCTTATGCCACAGAGCTAATGTCGTTTTTAGTTTGTTAGATGTGTAACATAGCAAGAATTAACGATGTTCATTTTTATGAAACAACATTTAATAACTAAATTGATTAATTTATTAATAATGAATAAATTTTAAATATTATAAATAATTTCGACAATGTTTACAACGTCATTAAACATTTTGACCAGCAATATAAATATAAACACCAGATCGTAGTGATTAATTGTTACTAACATGTTATATCACATAAGAAATGAATAGAGAACTACTTTTATTTTTTATCTTCCAAGTGTAGACACTTTGTAAATTCTATTGAAAATAATAATTTTGTTGGTAAGGGTTAAGACTTTAAGACTCTTATTTTTTTCACCAAGAAGGATGGCAACTCTTATGCTATTGCTCATCTTGATTCATTGTAAGTTCGACTTTTCAAATTTTATCCAGCCAACAAACATTTAAACTAACAAGAGTTATAACAGAAATATATTTTGTGATACTAAATGTCCAATTAAAGTTTATGTTGTACAACTATCTGTATAACCAACATTCTGAAAAATCTTCAACTAAAATTATAAAAACTCCAAATACAAAACTCACAATTTTATAAAAAAAAACCAGTTCAGTCAATCTTGGGAGTCAATCTTTTAGAATCCTACATTGGTTGTTACCTGAATTTCGTAACTATTTCCAGTTTTGAGATGAAAACGTTGGAAGAGTGTAGACAAAAATGCACTTCTAAACCGGGATTTCTATACGCTGTCGGGGTTTGTTTTCCATCTAGATTGATTGACTAACTGACTGACTGACTGACTGACTGACTGACTGACTGACTGACTGACTGACTGACTGACTGACTGACTGACTGACTGACTGACTGACTGGCTGGCTGGCTGGCTAGATGGCTAGCTGGCTCTCAGACCGACCGACCGACTAACTGATTGACTGATGATGACCTTTCATTTAAAGGAGGGTAACATATGTCATTGTGGGGTCAAGGTTGACGAGGCGACTTCAACTTCTCAATGTCACTTCGAGTGTTTCAATGAAAACTGCAATGCCTACGTCAATAAAGCTTATGCCGTCTTTTCTCGTAAAAAATTTATTATAATTTGAATTTATTTTGTCTAATTGAATTTGTATTATTTGTTTGAGCGCCGACACTTCAATATTATATGATTGCATGATGTTTTGTTTGCACCTAAATGTAGTAAGTTGAGATATTTATAATAAATTCTATCCCATTATTTGTACAATCGTATTTGATTCACGGAAAAATGATAAAAAGTTTGTGAAAAACGGAAACATGGATGAGTCATGTCATCATTTCAGTTTAGTTTGTTGTAATGTCTATCAAACTTTGACGAACACAGGTTTATTAATGATAATAAGAGATGTGCTGAAAGAGTTTTTGTTCTCTCGTAAAGACTAAAAAAAAATATTAATAACATCAACATATAAAATATTAATTTTTATTATTAAAGCTAACTCGCGAATAATACGAATTACAACCGTGGTTCAATAAGGTCATTGTACATTTCCAGATAAAATTATAAAATTTTATTTCAGTATTACAAAACGTTGAATCACTGGTTGGCTGTTTTACTGAAGACACTCAAACTCAAAGTGATGCAAATCTGTCGAGTTTCTCATTTCAAAGCTGTCTAAACCACTGTCGAAACGAAAATCTGACATTCATGGTGATCAATAAGGTAGGTTCAATTCAAAGCATATTTGCATTTGCACAATAATTTTAATTACCATTTAGATAAAAATTGTGCTATCAATGAACATTGTAACATGTCTGCACACAGAGCAAGAACATATGTTCCTGTCTGACATCGGTGAACTTTCAAGAACAAGTTGACATAGATCATTGTACAGAGAGATGCGACGGTGCAAAACACTGTGGCGGGCCGGCTCATGTGGCCGTCTACAAGGGTCTCCACTTTTTTCAGACTTTGTATAAAATTTCATATAAAAGATATAAATTTGACATGTTATCAATTTTGTTTTTAGCTCTAATTATTTAAAAAAAGTAAATTTTATCACACGTTATTGGGCAGTTCAAAGTCACTACAACTACTTCACGAACTATGAAAAGTTGAATTTCTGCTTGAACAGCAACAACAACAACATCAGAGTGACGTGCAACGAGACCACAGGAGTCTGCAACAACCACAACAACCAAAGTTCTGCTGTCACTGTTCCAAGCAACAAGGAGGAGTCATCGTTCTGCAAGCCTGGTGTCTGCGAAAAAGGCTGGAAGGGAATTCTGTGCACTGAAAGAGGTTATAAGGAAATGGTCGGGTGTTTTTTTGTTATTTTATGCGCATATACTGATTATTTTAATCATTTTAAATAAAATGGAATGAAAATACTTCAAAAAGTTTGAGCTTTAAATACACTAAACAGATGTTTAATATTTGCCATTGACGTAAAACCACATTTCCCCGACAGATTGTAAGGCGAACAATGGCAACTGTCTGAACGGGAGTCAATGTTTCGAAAACGAATTGGACAAGGACATCGTCTTTTCAGAATGTATCTGCTCCAAAAAAAGATCCATCAACCAAGACTTCCGATGTCAAGGTTAGTTTCTGTGGAGTTTCCTGTTGAGTTAAACTTTGTTAAGCGTTCAGTTTCATGCATCAAGCTTCGCATGATATAGATTCACATATTTTTTCTTAAATTTTTTTTAAATGTTTGGATAACACTTACGCGGTCTCAGATAGCCAGACGAAAACGGATGCTGACACGCTAAGACTACCCGTAAGCATGGGTCTGACAATATCCGTCCTATTCACCATCCTCTTCATAAAAAACATCTGCGCTTTCGTAATTTCAGCCTTGTATTCTTTAGAAAACAGAAGTTAGAAAATTGATTTTTTTTTAACTTTTTTAGACGTAGATGTTAACATCTTTGTAGCATACATATCATACTACACCAAATTTTCATTCTCCCAATTAAATAGTTTTTTAACTACATAAAAATACATCACCACATTATTATTCGATAACCATATTTAATAATGGTTTAGGGGCATTTTTTTCAGATATTACAAGTTTTATTCAGCAGAAACAAAATTGTATTACATTTATTTTAATTTCACAAATTTGCAAAAAGTAAAACTTCCAAATCATTAAAATCCACCTAAAAACGAGAAATCAAAATGTTGAAAACAGCCCATAATAATTGAAATCTCTTTAAAATGTTCCTTTTCAAACTGTTGAGAACAGAACTGACAGCCGTAAATGATCCAAAACAGCAGCAGGACAGAATGCGGGCAAGGATGGAGACCCTGCAGTTGGCTACTCTGAAACGTAAACATCTGATGAAACCAGCCAACATACAGCCACTTACGCTCGCCGTTCCTGATATGAAAATTCCTACACCTCCAGCTAAAACTTCCATATGATTTATCTTTTTTATTTGATTTATTTAAATAAATTAAAGTTTAAATAATTTATTTGTTTTATATGGATTTCGTATTTGCGAAAGATTTCATTTATTAAGAATTCATTCATTCATTAAGAATTCATTTTAAATAAATTAAAGTTTAACTACTTATTTTTTCTATTTTTTTTGTGCTTACAAAAAAAAATTCAGCGTTTCAATTGTGAATTTTATGATCACAAAATTTTTTTCTAAACGTTTTTTTCATTCAAGTCTGCAGTACTTTTAAGAATTTTGAATTTAATTGTTTACTAATTATCAAATACCAATAGTTAGCACATGTACCGGTGTAGAGGAAAGATCTTTAAGATAAAAAATTACCTTGATTTAGGAAGAAAAAAATTATATTATTATATTTTATTCATACATACATTGTATGTCTGGCAGTTAGAGTTTTTAGCCAAATAATTTGAATGGTTTTCAAACGACTAAAAATGTGACTGCTGCTATCCTTGAATAATATAGTTACTCTCTCTCTCTTTTCTCTTTTTCTCTCTGTCTCTCTTTCTTCCTCTCCTTTTTTCTATTTTTCTCTTCTCCTTTTTTCCTATTTCTCCATATACAATGATATTATAGGAATGTTGATGACGATTATGGTGATGAAGATGACTATGGGATTGATTTCAGGATTACATATTTATGATGTAAAAATATATATAAAGGTAGAAAAAATTGAGAAAAATTGTAAGAGAGAGAGAGAGAAAGAGAAAGAGAGCAACTACATTCAAGGATAGCAATCAAATTTTTAATTATATTCAAAATAAAATTTTATTTTGAGTTTTAATAAATTAAACGTTCACCAAAAAACTTTAGTGAGAAAAATCGAAAAAACGAACTACAATATGTTTGTGTTTGTAGTTTGAACTACAAACATGTTAACGCCAAACATTCGGTAGAATTTATAGAATATATATATTCTATAAATCTTCTTTTTAACTATATATATATAGTTAAAAAGAAGGTAGTTCAAGACTTGCCAAATCAACTAAACGAACTACAAACATATTAACGCCAAACATTCGGTAGAATTTATAGAATATATATATACCACACACACATACCACACACACACACACATGCATACACACACAGCACACACATATACCACGCGCGCACATACATATATTTTTAGTAATCATTATTATATTGATATATAATAATTATATTGTTTAGTGTAATTCAAATTGCAAGAAACATTAGCAAACGTTCAACAACACTACACCTCACTCAGAAGTAGAGGACTCTATCGATTCTCCTTTCAATGCAATCATTAATGGAGCACTTAACGAAGCGTTTAACAATAGATAGAATTTGTTTTTTAAACATTAGTATTTTCAATTATTTCTGTCGTTGCCAATGTTTGAATGATGTTACTTTCGTGAGGATGTCTCTGTTGAGATGTAGAGTGGAGGTAGCGTTGAATTGTGAGTCTTAAGGAGGTTTTGAGAATTTTGTGACGATATTTTGTACTATTTCGAAGAATTCAATCAAATGTCATTTGACAAAAATTTTGCATGTTGGAACAATTTACACTCATCCAAGTTCAATAATTACAGTCAGAAAAGTTTCGAGTTTGTTATTTGAAAAAATTTTAATTAATATAAAATAATGAAAATATTTTTTCAATTAGTTTTAGGAGGTATCAACAAAACGCATCCAACATCCCATTTGAACCAATGCATGGCAAACATTGCATGTCATAGTTCATGACTCGCGAATAGTTAAATGCTGGGGAAAAAATTCCAACTTTTGTAAAAAAATTTATTTATTTGTGTATTAATACATTTATGTATTAACAAATTGAAATGAAACTAAATATATAGCACGCAATAACGAATATACGTATCATGCACGATATATCTATGCCATATGTAAACGCTGTCTGAGTATAGAGTAGCACCGAAATGAATGCAAGTGACATGAACAGAGGCACCAACCTGTTTGACGCTGCCATAAAAGTATGGGAATGTATCTTGTAAACGGTGGCATCGAAATAAAAAGATATTTTGTTGATTTATTTTTATAAAAGTATCATGATTAACTTGAAAAGAAATTTAAAATACGTTTTTTTATTGAAAATATCGTTGATCAACATAATCCTGATACAAATGAGCAACGGAATTCTGTATACAAGCCAAACAAAGTTCCTACGTACGTACAGTTTGCTGGCTGCTAAAAACCGCTCCACTCCTGTCTGCTTCGATGATCAAATGTCGATTGCAATTAAGTTTCACGCACGAGGTCTTGCTGGATGTCTATACAAATGCATGGTTAACTTTTAATTATTTCAAAAAAAAAATTACTGTAAAAGTCAATTTGTCAGTTGAACGTTTTCAAAATCACTTTTCATAAATTAAGAAATGAAATTTGATGAAATCAAAGGCGAAGGCAAAAAATGAGTTGAGAGGAATCAATTTCGTGGATTCATCTGGGTTATGTACATGCATACCCAAAGCTAACGTCCGTTATAACGTAACTGCTGTTCAATCGTTCGCTACTGCTGGCTGTAGAAGTTACGTCACCCACGGTTGGTGACAGGTGTGGCGATGCAACGAATTTTACGTTATCATTCAAATTTTTATTTAATATTTATCAATTGTTGCTCAAGTCATTAGTGTTCAAATATATTTGAGAATTTTTATAACATGAGACTTACGAAAAAATAAACTAATAACTTTTACCTTTTTTAAAGAAATGATTCTATTTTGCATAATTTGGAACAATAATTTTGATAATACGTTAATAAATATTTAAAGAGGATAACCAACCGCTACCTATTTTTAATTTTTTAATTTACGTACCGTTCAGATTGTCCGGACAACTTCGACTACGTCTTGGAGTACCACAAGTGCTACAAGATGAAGTACCAGCATCTGGACTGGTACGACGGGAGAGCGTCATGCAACAACATCTCATCCTCCCATCCAATCAGCATCGAGGATGATGTCGAGAACGTCATAGCAGTCCAATACGTTAACTCCACGACAATGGGTTTGTATCATTAACAGTCAGCTGTCTCCCAGCCACGTCTTTACTTTCAAATTTATTTTTCCACATATGAATAATATGGCATTGTTCAACCTACTCTTAAAAAGATTGCGTATTCTCCTTCTCAATAATTTGACAGTTGTAATCCGTCAAAATAATTTCTTTTTTTATATAATTTACAGCAGTTAATAAACTTCAAGATAATTTGGTATGCAAATCAAGTCACTGTATAGTGGTAGAAAGTCTCTTTTGAGGCATTAAGATTGTGGATTGGGTATACAAACAATTTTTTTTAATTATCACTATGTAAAAGCTTCTAGTGAACAGTGCTATCAAACCTAATTCTTCAGTTGAGAATTATTTCCAAACGTAGAATTATTTTTTGTAATTTCCTATCAATAATCATCTTTGAAAAGATTGATTGTGAAACTATCGACATTTTTATTAACAGTTCTATAACAAAACCAATTTTGAAAGATTATCAAAAGTGTCCTGGCTCGTACTGGTCAAATTGGTTCACATACTACACTAGTGGCTTTCAGACCTACGCAGGCGGTGTGAAGACACCTTTCTATTGGGTTCCTTATCCAGGTAAGTCTATGAAAAATCCATATTAAATTTTTGTTTTTTTTTCTTTGTTTAAAATTTGTTTATTTTTTATGAATATTATAAGTTTATCCACTCAAAACCAAAAAGATTTTTTAAAATTAGTATTTTAAAGATTTGTTAAAATTTTTTAACTTTGTTTTTGGTTATAAGTTATTAGTCCTCATCGTTCACACGTTAGTTAGAAGATTTTTTAAAGAAATAAAAAGAAAATCAGTTCCCGAACGTATAAAAAATTGAGTTTGAAAGTTTTTCAAGAAAAGTATCCAATATACAATAGGTATTTCTAAACTAGTGAGAGTGAATGGATGGCATGTCGGAGAACCGAGTGCGCCCAACAATGGTGTCAACAACTGTTTGGTGACCATCATCACGGGTTACATCGGTTGGGATGATCAAGAATGCAGCACACCTTATTGTGTTCTTTGCGAGTATGACCTGGTCACCTGATCAACTTCGGCATGAAACCTGCATTTTGCTATCTGACAGATCTAAATAACATTAGCTGCACATGCATACGTTCTTTATGAAGATTTTTTTTCCTAAATCTCAAACTAACATTAATAGTAGCATGTATGTAAAAAAAAGTGTTTTACTTGTACTACTGACGATACTGAAGAGTTGAAGTAATTTGAAATCGCTCGTGAGTAAATGTTAGAATAAAAACGAATTCAACGTTTTTGGGAGCAGGTTTTGTTCATTATGCATATGAAAAATTATATCGATCATCACGAGTTAGTTTGCTGGCAACGCCAAAGGTAGAAATAAAGCGTTGATAGATTCACAACGTCACGTCACATGCATTATTCTCTATATTGATTGTAAACGTTGATGTATCATTATTCTGACAATACTTTCCACAATGAGGCACACGATAAAAATAAGAAATGTTTGGTTGAAATAACAAAACTTTTATAAAACAAACCATCACGTTTCTTAGAACACGCTTTACAGAAAGAACATCATTCAGATAGTAAGATGTTGCAACTGGTTTCATGCTTTGTTTAAAAATATTCAGTTTAGTTTTGAGAAACACTAGTGAAAATTTTCAGTTTCTTTCCATCATTGCATAGTCGGATGATCGTCTCAGGAGTACGTAAGGCACAACTTACCCGCGTTGTGGAATTCTTTTTCGAAAATAATTTACACGTTAACGAAATGCGCTCAAAATTTGAAGCGAATTTTAATTATATGTTTTACACTAGAGAGTAACTTTTTTAATTGCTAGAAATCTTGAAAACCGCGCAAGAGATATGACATTCCTGACCGACCGAGCTTAATCGCCGACCATTAATTTTTCTAATCGATCAAAAACTATTTTCACTCCACATTTCATCAGCTTTAGCTTTTTCGGACTTTTATCTACTTTAGCTTTAGTTCATCCGAAAACAGCCTGTTACACGGATAAAGAAACGTTCTATATTTATATACAACCGGTGTCAGAGTCGGATGAAAAATATTTGACTTCGACTCCGGTCCCTCAAAAAAATCCGACTCTCGACTTCAGGTTCCGACTCCCAGAAATAATTTTTCAAATTTAACATCATAATTTCACCTTATTATCACTAGTAAATAAAAAATACTTTAAAAGACACTCTAATATAATCTAAAAAAATTAATAAAACTTTCCTTCAAAAATATCCGACTCTGGGTCCTCAAAAAAATCCAACTCCGGGCCAAAATCTCAGACTCCAGCACCCTGCCTACAACGCCAACAAAAGCGAGACGAAAAAGCACAGAAAAAAAAACAAGAAAGAATACGTTTTTTGTGGGATATATTTATTTTTACACTGAATGAAAAATCTTCAAATATTGTACAGTCAGTCAATCAGTTTGTTCAAATGTTTTGTACAACAAATTCACGACGCAAACATATATATATATATATATATATATATATATATATATATATATATATATATATATATATATCAATCTATTATTACTTAAAGTTTTACCAATAAGATAAAAATAAAATATAGAAAAATTCAATCAGAAGAAAACGTATTCACCATTAAATAATAATAAATGTAATCACTGCGTTGGTGAGTGGTAACTCCAGACGGAGAGGAATATCATGCAATCGGCCATCCATATTATTGTAATTAACCAATGAAAAATATTATTATTATTAGCATAATTAACCAAACACATAATGAAATAAATGTTGACTTATTGTATAATGATTATTGTATATAAGATTAATTTGCTGTTCAACCACACCACACATCACCAATTTATTCCATAAGATATTGATTAAATTAAAGAACAAACGTTCAGAGTAATTTGTCACCGAAGATAAAAAGCTCCGAAAAAATACCACACACACACACGCACACACACACACGTGCTAGTATATACCCGCTACTCACTAATAAACTGAGTCCTTGTTCTTAGACAAAAACTAAATGATATGTCCATTTTCTTGTAAGTAGGAAACCAAAAAATCTTAGACTTCAATTACATGTCAAACCGAAACTTCTATTTAGAGATCTAGACGTATACCTTGACCTATGAATATAGGTCAACAGTTTTAATAGACGGACCGAAAATCAGATAAAATCTAAAAACAGCCATAACTAATATAACCACAGGCTTCTGTATGAGATGAAATATTAAACAACAGTATATCAAGAAGCCAAATAACACCCCATTCTGTTACTCAACTAAATGTTCCTTCAAAGACATTCATATTAAATTCCCATACCGCATGCTAGTGGTATGAGACTCGAGATATACATAAATTTATTTAAAGTTATAAATTTGTATGTTTCACACGAAAGAAATATTGGTATTTGTATGAATGTTTAAATGTACATTACACAGATACACACATTCACTCTTTCTCTCTCACATACACACACACACACAAACTTCTAATGAACCAGTTATTAATGTAGGGACAAGTTTATCAAAACAAGGAAGCACACAACACACACGTCAACTATATTAAATAACGTTCAATCTAATTTAATAATGATGAGAATAATAATAAAACATCCTTTTAAATAAATTAAATTAATGTAATTTATTTAAGGATGTCCGTAAAAACAAGTTTAATTTAATGCTAAGTTGAATAATAATAGGATTTGTCCAATATTGTTCAATTGATGTTTTCAATTATTAATTATTAATCTCTCTCTCTCTCTCTCTCTCTCTCTTTCCCTCTCTTCCTCTCAATCATTCAAAATTCCTTTATTATCGTTCTTTCCGTCACCGATCACCATCATCAACATTATAATATAACTTCATCATCAGCACTGTCATCTTCATCGTCATCAACATCATCTACAATTTTATAGTCAGTCATCATCATCATCTTGGCCATACCATCCAGACATCATAAATGGTCATCATCAGCTTCAGCTTCACTATCATTGGCATTCTCATTTTCCTTATCACCACCACCACAGCCATCGTTATCACTTTCAGTATAGTAGTCATCATATTATCATCATCACCATATCATCATCACCATCACGATGCAACAACGCCAACAGAACTACTGCAAAACCAAGTTTCTCAGAGTTCTAGTAAAACAAAAAAGTTTGTATATTTCACCAGAAAATAATATTAATTATTCAAAATAATGACAACAACAACAATAATAATAACAATACATAAAAAAACAAGAATAACAAAAAAATCCATAATAATAAAAATAATAATACATAAAAAAAACAATAACAAAAAAATCCATAATAATAATAATAATAATAATAATAATAATATTGACAACTGATAACAACTTGAATATAGATAAGTAACAATGCTAATAATAAAGCTTTTGGAAATGAATAAACAACAAAGAAATTATTTCAGACCATTTGTAAATGTAAATGTAAAGAAAATTTAAAAAAAAAAAATAATATAAGTGAACCACCCAAAACAAAATCTTTCTTCTCCTTCTCGCGGTCATCACCACCCTTGATGTATCAGCGACAATGAAACTACACAATCATTCACATCATTATAATCACAATTATCACCAAACGTTCATCATTTTTATTATGTTCAATCAGCAACCTTATTAAAACAACACCAACATTTCATCACCATACAATCATCATCTTTTATCACTCCGCATCATTCCACAATGTCATTTACTCTTCCAACCAATCATCATTCTCGTGCAACAACATTACACAACTAGCACCACAACATAGCATATCACACATCCCACCGTATCACATTATCTATAACCTTCTACACCTCACAAACATCCTATCCATATTTTCATCATATCACATCCCCATCAGATCACACCATCGCCATCCCCAACCCCCTACGAAGTCCCCTCTAATCGTCGTCGTCGTCATTCCAGCTGGCTTGCACCGTAGCAGAAACCTTCTTCTCGTACTCCCTCCTGTTCTCTCTGTACAACTGGGCTGCCTCGTTGTTCGCCGGGCTGTTTGGATTCGGATCGTGCAGCAGAGACTGAGTAAGGATTGATTAATTAACTCATTAACTAATTCATTAATCTATTCATTCATTCATTCATTCATTTATTTAAAACAAACAAATGAAGAAACAAACAAACAGACACGTACGAACAAACGGTAAACACAGAAGATATTCAAGCGCCAAAGACATGGCAGAAAACAGACCTGTATAGATGTGAGAATGGCCGAAACATCGTATGTCGGACTCCATCTGTTTTGCAGTATGTCTAGACATATGCTGCCATCAGCATAGACTGTTTCCAACCGATTTATGAGAGTTAATTAATTATCTACTTGAATTATTCAATCAATGATGATTTCTACATTGAAAATAATGAAACAAAGATATATATATATATATATATATATATATATATATATATATATATATATATATATTGTGTCAATGTGAATTCTGAGTTATAACTGGTGCTATATAAATGTAAATAATATATATATATATATAAAATAAAAAAAATTTGTTAAAAAAAAAGACCATTAGGATGGAACATTTTGGAAACGAATCGAACAGTGGGTGGTCGGTTAGGGTACTCTTCAGTGAATTCCATGGTCAGTTTGAAGGTACCATCTTCAAACGGGGTATCGTGTGGGCTATCATGGGTTCAGTAGAATTTTTTACAATTTTTAACAATTCTTTTTATAGTATTTTTCAGAAATATCAACACAACACACAAAATTGCTCACATGTTTCACACAAAATACTAGTGTATTTATATGGATGTTTGTGTACAATACACACACAAACAAACACACAAACAAATACACACACACACAAACTTCAATGTACCATACACACTGCATGACTGCATGTGATAGGCAGATGTCTCTTTCCATTTAAATTTGCAATACCATTGGGTACAAAAACTTGTAAATGGAAAGAAAAAATTTACAGACCCAAAAATGACAGCATTCCATAACATGATATTCTTCTCAGTCGGAGCTCCACTGACACCAGCTGGTGGGTCTTCTTGCAATCTAGCATTTTATTACAACAAAATTTATTTTTGAAAAATTATTTTTTGGAATTTAACAAAGTTAAATGTAATACATATCCTATCCTATCAAATGCTCGGCTCAATCTAACAAACTATCATTATCTCTAAAAGGTTTCTAATTTTAATGATTACTGAATGCCATAAATAAATTCAGATCCATATCATTCTATAGACAACATTAGACATAAAGTACTAACTAATTATTACTATTAAACTCATGTTTTCTCTATTGAGAATGGCAATGATTTATAAAATAACCTATAAAAAATTATTTAAATTTAAATAAGTCTTTGATCATTAAGCTTAATAACTCTATGTGTAATGAGCATGCAAAATCAATGTGGAATAGACACTTTTCTATTGACTGGTTATTTAGTGTTTATTAGAGCATTCTAATAGATGGCTGATTTGTGAAATTTTTTGGTAACTTCCCACTTAACTATACTACTAAATACTAAAATAAACTAAATTTTCAAACCTTTATCATTTTTAATTAAATTTACAATTTACATAATTTTAAAAATTTAAAGTTTAATTTTAAAATGAATAAAAATAAACAATGTCTGTTTTTGAGAAGGTAAACTACAAAATAAAAAACTGCCGTAAGTAAATATATATACTATACTTATATTAGTAGATATAGTTATACACTCAGCCATAATCAAATCAAGTATAGTATAAAGACCACAGTAAGGTACAAGATGGAGAGAAGACTCTTTTGAAATTTAAAATATGAACTTTCAAACGAATGTAAACAAAGCAGACACAACGAAGGCCAATTTAAAAATGTCAAACAAATTACAATAAATAGTAAGTAAGTAAAAGTAATTGGCACGTGGGGGAACCTTTTGAAATCTCTCATAAGCCTCCGTCTGGCCGCTGTTGACATTTTCACGCGAAATTGTTTCTACTTCTACGGCGAAGTTAGTTAGTGAGAAAAAAGTTTCTTTTAATTAGAGCCGTGAAGATTAATTAATCTATCGGAGTGAACTTTCTTAAAAGAAATGGCGATGTTTCGACAGGCGATACAAACTTTCTTTTTCAGAAATTACAACGATAATTTGTAAAAAAATGTGAAATTTATAATTTTATTAATCTTGTTTCGTTCTTAATTATGATGAGGCGCTTAACTTTTTAAAAGTTTTCCCAAAATTTTCTTCTGCATGAGCTTAGTATATAATTGTATGGTGGTATAGGTACTAATTCTACAAATATGGATCTCAAGTGCTCTTAATGCATGGATATGACCATTTAATAATTTTAAATAATAAACCAATTTTAAATATTTTAGTATTAAAATAATAAAAAAACGGTATAAAATTCCATGGGTAAAACCCATGTAAAACCGTTGAGATACAAGTTATTTAACATATCTCGATGTATAAAACTTAAAATAAAACATTAATGATTTTATTAAACTAATAAAATCACTCTTGATCATTTAATTTCACCATCTAGTTTGACAACTTTAAAAATGTATGATCTAAAGATCTAACTTCCATCTTCAGAGAAAATGTTGTTCAATGCTTATTTCACATTTATTTTTTGCAAGATTTTCATATATTTTATTCAAATTTGGCAAGACATTGACATTGATGGGCTGCAACAATATGAAACCAAAATTCTTAATTTACGCGGAATTTTGTCAAACTTTAACCCTAACAAAAATGACTTTAGTGACGAGCTTCAACCCTGAAGCTATCCCTTGGCTACGCCTCTGAATGTTATAGATGATTAAATTGAACTAATCTAACTTAAAATGTTTCTTCTGAAGAAACCATTATTTAACCATTATACATATTTTTGTTATGTGAATATTTGACAATAAAAAAAGACCAGAGCATTGCTTCTTACGAAACATACCTACCTCATGCAAGTTGTTTGTTTTTATGAACATTCTTTGAACATTCCATTGAATCATTAGTATTAATATAATAACAGTCTGATGTTAAAAATATTAAATCGTCTCGTAACTCACACAACGACATTGGAATCATCAGCTAAGTAGTCATAACACGAAAGCGACATCATGCTTAAACTTGCCGTCCCTGATATACAGAAATAACTCTATTATTGTGTAGACAAAAACGTTGGTAGCAAAAATTTTGGTAAACAATTAGAAAAAACTTTCACAAAAACATCACCCCATGTTGTAGAGAATAGAGCATTTACTCGGCAAAAAACGTAGTTTCGTACTCGTATTCATTGCTACTGTACAATGGAGGAGAATCAATAGTAATTATGCATTGTGAAATAACTCAATTGTAGTCTTGCTTTTGCCGTAATGTTTTAACATAAATTTGTTTTCATATCTTCTGACTATGATGTACATATAGACATGTAAATAAAAGAAGATGACGAAACCAGAAAGTTGTCAAAATTTCGAAATGGATAAACTTTCATTAATGTTTATTTTCTTAAATATCTGGCTCAGTTCAACAGCTACCACAAAGTTCATAGTCGTGGAAAGTGTTTCAAAGAATGCAACGTACTCGATAAATAATCCGGATTATGAGATGCCAGGTTTCAAATCTCATCTGGAATGTGTGACAGCCTGCTTCTCAATACAATTTTGCGTCGGTTGCAACTACCTCCTTGATGAAGGGGTGTGCCAGGTTTATATAAACAGATCAGTCGTCTTGGTGGCTCCAATTAATAACGTAAAAAAAGTCTTCTATAAGGTTTGTTTGTTAAATATTCAACTCGAATAATATGTTCCTTGTATAATAAATGTTACAAATTAGTGATATTTAGTTTGCTATCTTTGAAATTTATCAGATACTAAAAATAAATATTAGAAAATAAAATGTCTGATAGATTTTTTCAGTTGATTCTCGTTAAATAAATTTGTTGAACATATTTTATTTTCTCTCTCTCTCTCTCTCTCTCTCTCTCTCTATATATATATATATATATATATATATATATATACATGCTTTATCTCTATTACTATATCTTTATGATTATATCTATTTTATTATTCTATATCTATAGTATATATATATATATGTTCATTACAGAATACAATGTTTAATGGAACACAGTATTTTGGTTACTATCTACCATAATATTATTTACTATTTAACATAATTTTTAAAATTTTGAGAAGAAATTGCCTTGCTTATTTACTAAAATCACAAAATAAAATTTGAAATGGGCCAATCTTTATTAATTAACAAGATGGAGGAGCTTTATTTATAGCTTTAGCTTTATTAGTTAGCCAAATGTATTGCGAGAATGCAACGTTACAAAGCTAACAAGTTTCTGTACAAACAAAGTAACAAAGTTTCTGATCGGAGCAGAGTAAACATTTTCAGAATTACTTAAATGATTTTTATTCTTAATCTAATAAAATGTATAAATGTCAAATATTCTAAAAGTGAATTAATAAAAAATTAATTTTATTTGAAGAGGTGTCTCACTATTACATTGGATGTTTCGTCGATATGGAGGATAGAGATCTTGAAATTAAAGCTTCAACAGGTATCAGTATCAGTATGACAATTGAAGTCTGCAGAAACTTTTGTTCGATTGACAAAAACTTTTTTGCACTACAAGTTGAGTTGATTTAAATACGTTATTGAAAATTTCATCTATAATTTAAATTATATTGAATAAACCAATCAAAATAATCTTTGAAAACATATCCTGTTATCTCTCGTTTTTTGAAATTTTTCAATCCAAACTTTTACCGTCATGAAAAAATTTCTAGTATGAGAATGGCCTAGCGAAAAATTTGTTGTGGGGAATAAATTTGATAAAAGTTATTCATTGTGGAGGATTTAGAGTTAGGGTTAGGCCCAAATCCCCCTGCTATATGACATACTCTAGAAAAAAAATTGTGTGGGTTCGCGAATATATCAATACTTAAAACACAATATTTAGCCAACGAACAATATTAACACTTAGATTTAACGAAACTTTAGTTTTCTAGAGAGTGTTACTGTTCCAACACATACGGAAAATATCAACTCGGTGAACCATCCACTTGTTGCTATCCATGTGACGGCAATCAACGAGAAATTTGTGGGGGAACGTGGCGAAACAGTGTATACGGAAGTTCGTTTTTGTTTTTTATTGTTTGTTTTAAATTTCAGTGGTAAAAAAAGTTAAAAGAAATGGAAAAAACAAAATTGTAAACAATATTTTGCAATAAAACAGTGAACAATATTAATGGCATAAATGCTTCATTGATTTTATTAAATGTTACTACCCGTTGTTTAGAAATGGTGAATTATTTTATAAGAGCTTGTATGAATAAACATATCAATTAAAAAATAATTAAAAATAATTTTTCGTGACAGTTAACCGAACGGTTCTCCTTGGTTGAATGAAAAGAAAGACGTTGCTTCTTATTATAGAATGCTTAAATTTAGATTTTAGAAAATTTACGAACATATATACATAGAATCGAATAGAGTAGAATAGGCTTAGAACATTTACTTTCTTCTAAACTTATTGTTTTAGATTTTAATAACTTCGAAACAATTGTAAACTTTAAATTTTGAAAACTGTCTAGTATTAGATTGTAATGCACTGTAACGTGAGATGTAAATGTTAGGTTGTAATTATAATTGTAATTGAAATTGTAATACTACTTGTTGTGAAGTAAAATAAACAAAACAAACACAATTCAGGCGTAAAAAATAACTTTATTTTAACGTGAATCTCGAACCGTCTCATTTACAAGCACTCAGAAAAAAGAAAGATCGAGAGAAAAGCAAAGAAATAAAAATTAATATAGATTAGGTAACATTAAAAATTGCAATAATCTTTAATAATAATTAATATATAAGATAGTTAACAGATGAATGTTTGATCCGTACAATACTCCACCACAAAAGAATCGCAAAAAGAAAAAAGCGAAGATATACCTCAATATACCTCGATATACCTCAATAAACCTCAATAAACCTCAATATACCTCAATAAACCTCAATATACCTCAATAAACCTCAATATACCTCAATAAACCTCAATATACCTCAATAAACCTCAATATACCTCTATATACATCAATATACCTCTATATACATCAATATACCTCTATATACATCAATGTACCTCTATATACCTAAAAATATACCACTATACCATATGAGATCAGGCATTTCTGTCTCAAGCGAGCATGCGAGGCAAAAGTGCCTGATCTGGTTTCAATGCTTTTTCAGCTCCTATTTATACTCGTTTCAGCCATACATCCTCATCATTTCAACCATTCACATCAGTAGAAAGTTTATTTCATGTATGTAATACACTACTATACAGTTTTGACGACAATGCTAGCCAGACTTAATTAACGTCGGTAAGTAACGCCTTCGAAGCTTTTTGATTGGCTGGTTGGTAATTCTATATTTAGTTTTTTATGAAAACATATAATTTATAATCTAATTTTTTTATGTTTATTTATTAAATTTATCATTGAAATAACAGTAATTGTTGCTACTTTAAAGTATATGCTTTATGTATATTTTTTTGTTATATGCGTTTATTATTGCTACCTGTATGAGCAGTTCAATTTCCGCACAGAGGTAGAGAGAGAGAGAGAGAGTTCAAAATAACTTGAGGCCACACCTTTCTTACTTTTAGCTCTATCTGAATACATATCGATACCTTTTTGTAAAATCATGATTAGTAACGCAATGTTTTTATAGAATCATGATGATCATCGTGCGAGAGAGATAGAAAGAGAGAGAGAGAGAGAGAGAGAGAGAGAGAGAGAGAAAGAGAGAGAGAGAGATAGAAAGAGAGAGAGAGAGAGATAGAAAGAGAGAGAGAGAGAGATAGAAAGAGAGAGAGAGATAGAAAAAGAGAGAGAGATAGAAAGAGAGAGAGAGAGATAGAAAGAGAGAGAGAGATAGAAAGAGAGAGAGAGAGAGAGATAGAAAGATAGAGAGAGAGAGAGAGAAAAAGATAGAGAGAGAGAGATAGAAAGAGAGAGAGATAGAAAGAGAGAGAGATAGAAAGAGAGCTCAAAATAATTTGAGAACACACCTTAATAAAATCGAGAGCTGAATACATATCGATATCTTTTTGTGGAATCATGTAACGCAGTTTTATCGCTATAGCAAATAATTAAATTTTTTTAGTGTGAATCAATTAATTCGGTCAAAAGTGTGTTACAAAGTTCGATATCTCAATGAAATTAATTTAAGAAGTTTTTTTAAAGTCAGTCGGTCGGTTCTTTTTTCTTGATGTCTTGTTGGTTCGTGATCCTCATGTATGTGCTTGGCTCGCACAGTTTGCAGTTACCAGATTCGAATACACATGCCTCGTGTGCTGCGTTTCTTAGTAGCACGTATTAACGTACGCGATGTGTATCTTTATTTCGAAAATAAAAATTATAAAATAAAGAAAGGTGTTAGGCAAGGCTTCGTATTCTCTCCAGATCTGTACAATTTCTATAGTGAGATCATGAGAAAGATAGAAAATCTACCGGGAATATCCATTGGAGGCGGGAATATCATACATAAACTATAATAATAATAATTATTATTATTATAATTATAATGATAATTAAAATAATAAGCTATATTTTTATGTCTGTATGGGTATTGCTATGCAATTAACGAATTTATATCGTTCTCTAGTCTAGGTTCCCACTAAGACATGTTACGATCAAACTGATTAATTTATCTATCTAATTTATTTTAATTACGACAAATTAAATATTAATAACCCAGCTTAAACACTAATTAAATTATTCACGTAATAAAAAAAACCTATTTTTTTTAGGAATTTTACTGGCAAAGAACAATGAATTTTATTGGAGGACCGCCGCCGATTTTGGCTATGTAAAAAAGAACAAAAATCAACAGGTCTTCGTTTGTGGGAGCAAAAATAAGGTTCATAGAAAGTTTATTATTCACATTTCATCAGTAAATTACCGCTTAATTATTTAATTATTAACTATTTTCTCAAAAATCTTCTAAAAATCTTTTTAATAATTCATGTTTTATAGGTGAGGTTTTTCAGAATTGTGGGTGTTATTAAATAAATTTTTGAAATCTACTCAAATAGATCAGAAAAAAAAATGTTCAATATGACTTTGTAAAAAGTTTAAAATTAAATTTTTATCTGAATTTCGGGAGTATTTTTATCGTGTTTTAAAGTCTTGTGTACAGTTGTCAATTGACAATTTTTTATTTATTCACTAGTGTACAAACTTATTTCTGTTTAATTAAATGTTAACATTAAGATTTTGGCTAGAATTATTTAGTTAATATAAATAATATTATTAAATTACATTACAACGTTTATTTGTATTTTTGTAAAATTGTATAAAAATATAAACGTTTAAACGACACCTTTAATTGTATCCTGCAACTTAATAGCCTTTATAAAAGAATGATTGCATGCGCGTGCTGTACATGCTTCGGCTGTACATATACTAAAATTGGAACGATACAGAGAAGATTAGCATGGCCCCTGCGCAAGGATGACACGCAAATTCGTGAAGCGTTCCATATTTTTTGCGTTATTTACCTACTTATTCGACAAAATCTCATACCAAATTCATTCAGGTTTTCCTTTTTTCAGCCAGTTACTGCATTTACGCTTTTTACGTTAAGATGTCTGAGTAAATTATATATAAGTTTGATATAATTTTATTAAAATGTTACGGAAAATCTCCTTTCTCCTTCGTAAGTCGATGGATTTTGTAAATGTTAAAATGGTCTTTGGCTGAGTATTGATTCACGTCATTCTTTAATATCTTTCAAATTTAAAAGCTGGGGGGCAACACTTAAAAAAAATCATAAAGTTAGTCCCACATCGCGATATTTTCTAACTGATGTACGTAAATAAAACCAATTCATTAAGAACTATTCAAAGAAGATTTATTTTCTCAGTGTAAATGACGAAGTTTTGTTTTTCACGACGCAGTAAGTGGATGTATACAAATTACAAACAATACAAATGTCTTGGTGTTTGTAAATGAAATAAAACAAGCAATAGTGACAAAAAGCATGATGAATGACAATACTGAAGAGTAAATACATGAACGCATAAGATAAGGGCTCTTGCCGTTTTAAATAATAGTAACATTGAGGTAACAAAGCGTTTTGTAACAGTTGATTTGCTATAAACTAAAATAACCATACATGGAAATAATAAGATAAATAACGAACACAGTGAGAACTAAACTAGTAGACGAGGATTTAACAAACTTGAATAAGAAAGCACAAGAACATAAATAGTGTGTGAAAAATTAGCTTCACATACCTACCTGAACGAATGTCTATATTATTTGCGACATCAAAATAAATAAGAAACGTACTGTCAGAATGTATTGTGAATCTCGAAAATATTGCATAGTGAAAATTAATAAATCCAATGATTAATTTGTTTCTGACTAAGACGTCTAAAATCTTAGTGAATCAACATATTAATGAAATGCAACTTGTTTGTCTAAGCAAAGAGTAAAATTAGTTAGATGTTCGAGGTTATGGAATTAGAATTCATCTCATGAATACAAGCAACGACTAATGAAATTACTACTAGCTGAATAAATGCCATTTCAGTTAAAACTGAACGAAAACATGACGTCAACAAATGATGTTTCATCCTAGAAGAGGATCGTTCTCATTGGCCTCTCTATCGCCATTTTCGATTATGACATCATTTCCTCTGATGTCGTCATCAGTCGATGGTGATCTCCCAATTCGAGAATCAAAGGAATCATCGCTGCTGGCAATCAGTTGCCTCTTCTGAGATCGACTCAAGTTCAGTACTTTATCCTGGCGAAGATAAAAAGCGAGAATTCCGAATGATAGTTTGACAACATAATGAAACGAGTGAATACAGATATTAAAACCTTTACTAACTCTCGCTCTATCTACGACATTCAAGGCTACAGAGACAAGAATGCAGAGAACGTTGTTGGCGAGAAGAAAGATCATGACATACTTCCATCTGAGTAGGATCTCTTCCCTGGTTGGAAAATAAAACATCAAGCCATTAATCAACACTGCATACTTATTGCCTAAGTTGGTGTAAAATCTCTAAGTAAAACAATCCCTAAAACCAAACTGTCTGTATTAATTTACGAATATAACGGTAGAAGCTGATAGGTCTAAGCAAATTTTATTTAAAAGAACATAGAAATAGTGGAAAAGTTCAATCCCTATGTATGTTAAATTGCAGTGGTTTTAGAAAAAATTTACCGAAAATGTATCAACTTATGAAAGATTTAAGATATAAATGATTTATTATTAATAATTAACTCGTAGTAAAGTATTTTATTGAATAAATTAAATATACCAAAAGAGCATCGTTATCAGCAATTTGAATAAACTAGCAAAAGGAATATGTGAAAAGATCGATCACTTGTTTTGATCTTTCGTTTCTAGGATGGCTCCCACAATGATGTTTGACAGTCCAATGCCTTTGTCAATGAAATGATTGGAAATACATGAGAATGAAAAGGTTAGATGAATCGCTACAAGCAATGACAAAAAGAAAGAAATGTCCAAATGGAAATATTTCAATGTAATAAATTATCTGGGAGATACTCAACAAATGCGTATTTAAATTTAAAAATATCACTTATTATTTACTATCTAACGCCGAAGAATACTACGTAATACGAATTATAAAATGTGAACAATCGCCATTCTCGTTAAATGAGACGAACCAATCATCTGAATTGAAGTAACAAGTCCCATGGCTGTGCCCACGGCTGACTGCATGACAACCAATGGAATAGAGGGCCACATACTCGCCTGCGTGTAAGTGCAGGCGGCAAATAATTAAACCGCCAACAAATAAATTTAATTCAATTTGAATAAGATCTTAAACATTTTTTTTTCTCGTTTCATTGTTCAAACTTGTGAACAAATTTATTTTGGCGTAATAATATTGTGATTGAAAATATTCAATGGAACAATTTTTCGATGATTAAGACAAATTAGCGTATTAACAATTGTTAAAAATTGGCTGTAAAAATCATGCAAGTCATTAAAGTATATAAAAAAATCATTTATTATAAATACTTTACAATGTTTTAGAATTAACTATATGTACTGAAATGATACAGCCGAAGAACAAGAAACCTACATCTGTAAGACCACAACACAACCGCCAATCCTATTACACCATCCAAATAAACGACCAATCACCCAAATAAACGACCAATCACATAACTGCTTTAAAAAAATAGCCAACCAACCGCAGCGAGGGAGTACGTGAGACCCAGCCAGAGGGTGAGGATGATGGGGAAGAGATCAGTGACTGCCAGGAGGATGAAGACGGGGGTGGTGAGGATGGCGCAGGCAAAAGTTAAAACCCCTCTCTTCCCTATGATGTCCTAGAGATCAAATTTCCATAAAACCTACTAATCCATTTCGAAATTACGGACAAAAACAAAAAAATATGGAAGGCTACGTACTTGCCGGCGTGCAATGCAAGCAAATATAGCACCATCTTATTTTTGAAAAAAATGTTTAATTCAAATTAAATAAAATCTCGAAGTTTTTTTTTCTCATTTAGTTTCTCAAACCTAACATTAGAGACGGCCATTACCATCGAATAGACAATTTGATTCACATTAACACACAATCGAAGCAAAAAAATATTAACAAAAACCAAAAACTGACCACAACATATCCAAGGAAGGGTGATAGGACCATGGAAAGGTAGTAGACCGCCCCCGACACATATGATGCATCTTTCTGGCTGTACCCATATTTGTCTTGGATGAACTTACTGAGTGGCGGGATGGATGGAGGTTGAATGAGGTTACAACGATGCTATGCAGTTGATGATCAATCAATCAATCGATCGATCGATCGATCAATCAACCAACCAACCAATCAATCAATCAAGAAATTTTCATTTCTTAACCCACTAATATCAGCATCAACATCTAATTATCATGAAATCATAATCTTCTTCACATCACCATCATCACCTCGCATCAGCCACGAAAGGAAAGACACCATTGTAGAAGAACATGATGCTCAGAGCTATCAACCAGTAAAGCAAGTTGAAGTGCTTGATGTCTGTGAATTTCTGGATGGAGAATTAATTACGTGTACTATCATAATTAATTAATTATCATTATTAATTAATTATTTAACTAAATAATTATTACACAGACCAGCTTCTTAGCATTCTGATTGCTCGTTTCCTCCACTCCCAATTGTTTGAGACCGATCCTATCAAGGATTCCGACCAGGATAGCTGCCACAAGTCCGAGGCAACACAACATGGCTCCTGATGCGTTTGTACAGTTATGTTTGTATACATTTGTGTTTGTTTGTATACATCTCTGTTGGTTTGTATACATTTGTGTTTGTTTGTATACATCTGTGTTTGTTTGTATACATTTGTGTTGGTTTGTATACATCTGTGTTGGTTTTTTTTAAACATAAGTTTTATATCGGTAGATTATAAAAATAATAATGTCTTATTGAATTTTTTAAAAAGTGTGTTCGTTCGTATGTCACGTGCAAAAACGTCTGTGAATTTGTTTGAAAAATAAATATCCCATCGTGCAATCTTCCTGACATCCAGCTCACGCACCTCCCCACAAAGTCCACGAAAGACCAAATCGATCGGCAAAACTAACGGTGACCAGGAAGTTGAGAACACTGCCCAGCCTGCAATCATGTATGGTCCAGTGGAACCAGCAACGAACATTACCATCATTAGTATTGTAAGAATGTTATAATAGATTTCAGCACGCTATTACAACACCCACTCAATCCATTCATTAATACATATTAAATTCTTTTAAATTATTAAAACATCATAACTTTCTACATGGACTGAATATCTATGAACACCAAAAAAAACACATATAAGTTTACATATTTATTTATAATTATTTATAAAAACAGTCATGATTAATCATTACAAAATCCATTGAAATAAATATAAAGATATACAAACACACGCACACCACACACACACACACACGCACACCACACACACACACGCATAAACACCAACATTTAGAATCATATGCGCACAAGTACACACACACATCAATACACATACTTACACACACACACACACACATACACAAACTAGTAGAATCATATATATATACAAGTAAACACACACACACGTCAATTCTAACCTTGAGAATGCCAAGGTCACTCCGAATGCCATTGCAAGCTCTTTATCTTTGAACCAGAAGGCAGACAGACGAGTTTGCACAACTGGAGATGGTGATACGGTAAATGTATGTGTGTGTGTGTGTGTGTGGATGGTGGCATACTTACAAAGTTACTAAAATATTTTAGTGATTTTTTTTCTTTATTTATTATTTTTTATTATAAATTATCATTTATCACATCTTTTTTAATACAACGTAACTTGTACTGTACTAGCAACATATGTATTAGCTATTGAAGTACACTCAACTGTTTCATTATTGTGTACACATACTTTAGAAAAAAAAACAATTTCACACACGTTCATTACTTTCACACGTACATTCACATGCACACACATGCTTCTTTTGATGAAATGGAATTTTATTCCCTTGTCAAATTGGAAAGTTATAAGAGCACAGGATGACCATAATCGAATTTAGCACATACAAGCCCACATTTATAAGAACCAAATTACTGATGCCCCCCTACGAACTTGTAAGAGATCCATTGCCCGCCCCAAACAACAACCTGCCCAGTAACATGACAGGTAGAAGGGCGGCTGTCCCTCTCAAATGCGTGCCCAGGGCAAACAATGAAGACCCCAGGACGCATAGGAATGAAAATGTCAGGGCTCCGACTGCAGATGGAATAAATGAATAAGTGATTAATTGATTGAAAGAATAAATGAGTGGATAAATGAATGAATAAATGAGTGGATGAATGAATGAGCGACTGATTGAGTGACTGAACGAATGAGTGGATGAATGTGCAGGTGAATTAATGAGTGAATGAATAAAGAATTAAAAAAATTAGTAAAAGTATGTGTGATTGAATTAATGAGTGAATGATTATTATACAGTTTTAAGATTCTTGATAGCAGCGGGCACATGCAATTATGCTCTACACAAATCAATACATATATACTTCTACAAATATGTATGCACATGACGTATCATATCAAAAACCTGTATCAACATATTTAGATACTGATAGCTATCAAAATGCAAATATTAAAAGAAAAAAGACAAAAAACAAACCATCAAATTTAAAATCCCCGAAAAATTACTTGAAAAATTGTTTAAAATAAAAAATTTAACAAAAAAAGGGGAAAAGCAAACCTTGATTGCCAACTTTATCAATGAAGAAACCAGCCCCTATCACTATCACTGCATTCCTAATGGTAGATTGAAATACTGTATTAATAATGTTATTATCGATCGTAAATTTGTTCAAAGTAAATTTTTTCCATGAAAATAGAAACAAAAAAGATATAGAAGTGTAAGTGAAGGAAACACACGTCCATGCATAGATCATGTAGAGTAGATTGTATTGGGCCGGGGACATGTCGAGACAATCATTAGTGAAGTTGGTCGTCGTGTTGAGGTCAAATGATGAAGAGTTGCACTTGGTTAGGAATGTAAAACAATTTAGTCATAAAGGTAAAATAAGTTAAAATAACTGGAAAAAAAAATTATAAAAACTAAAATCAAGGTAGCAAAAACACTATTGACTATACACATAACATAACAGATAGTATTTTATAAAAAGTTAAAATGAATGAAAATAAACCTGGAATCTTGTTTGAAGAACGCTGGGCATATCAAAACAGAAGTATGATCCAAATGACAACAGGCAATTCAATGCCAACAGAACAAAACGAAAGAGTGCTGGATTTAATCAAATGAAAAATATAATATTAGTAAATTATAAAAATACAAAAATTGTTTCAATTAAGCCTAAGGAAGCTTTGTATATTACAGCATTTTAGTCTTAATTATGCTTAAATTAAAATTAAATTATTAATTTAGATTTTTTGGAAACTCAAGTTTAAGTAGAAATGAAATCAATGTGAAATAAATATAAATACTCTTAATCTAACTAATCTAAGTGATAAGTCCAACTCACCTTTAGATGCATGTAAGCAGGCTGCCATTTTCAATAATATTAATACTAAATATAATAATATATATATCAGATAAAATTCACGGCTCACTTTCAATCACATGAAATATTTATTTCTAATTTTTGAAAACAGGAGGAGGCACTTGCTTAATTTAGCGGTAAGCCTTAGCTTAGATTAGCATTAGGATTAGACTAAGGACTTTTAAGGAGTTTAGTAGACTTTTAAAGTTTTACTTTTAACTAAATAAATTATGTTTTATTTAATTTAATTTTAAGGTTAAATTCAAACCGCTTCATCTATACACAAAGACAATTTATAATTTTGCTTAGAACATCTACAAACTGTCAAATCAATCTCAAATAAATTAAAAATAAATTAATTTTATTAAAGAAATGAAGAAAAATATTATTGGAATCAAGCATTAACCATATGATAAATTTAAAAGTTAATTTAGTGACTGAATAACTAAACGTTAACTTAAGTAATAACTATTAATGTCCATGCACTAAGATTAGTGACAATTACTGATTAACTTGATCCAAGTGACATTAGAATTAGTACTTTCATTTTAGGTACATCCTGCATAAAATTTTTCAATGTTATATGCTACATGCATGTCGTACACGCACGTGTTATACGTACTTTATAGATAGTAGATTACGATCAGTCTAATATTAAATACTAGATTATCAATCTAATATTAGATTAATATTTGAATCTATATTACAATCTAACAATAATTTCTAGATTAGATTAATAACCAGATCAATCAAATATTAATTTCATAAAATGATAATTACTCTAACGACATAGAAATTAAACACTAGAACACTAATTCGAAATGGTTGATAGAAATGACGTCATTTCAGCAGTACGATAGGGAGCGTTAACTAAAAATATGTGCAGCCGATAAACACCCCGCTAAAATTAACAAACCAATCAACCTCATTTTTAGTAAATGATGCAATCTAGGATTTCTATTTTTATAAGGTTGCATGCTAGATTTATTGAAGTTGTTTTTGAAATGTAGATTTATTACGATGTACATCAGCTACAATCGGGTATCAATCAATAAGTTAGTTTATAAAGCGCTACTTCCGCGATGTCCAACAAAGCTCCTCAATTCATTTTGCTAACAGACAAGTCTTAAGATCCGCTCTAAACTTCGTAAGTAATCGAGTAGTTAGAGGAGGTAGAGATCCAGAGAAAGGGGGCCAAAAAAAACAAACGCAGATTTAGCAAGTGTTTAACACGAGTTAAGAAGTGAGGACAAGACGATCGCTTACCGGGGCGTTCAGATACAATAGGTATATCGGATAAGAACTAAGGAAATAATTTAGATTGAGACTTGTACGTTGAATCTTAAAAATTATTTTATATTTTACAAGTAACCCAGTGCAAGAGAACAAGATATGGAGATATGAGAAATGAAAGGGCATGAGCAGCTAGACGAGCAGCAGAGTTAACAGCTTTACTTAAAAGATAGTGTAGGAAGACCATAGTAGAGCGAGTTACAATAATCAATCCTAGATAAAACTAAGAGTAACAGAAAGGAGTAGGATCGTCAAGAAAAGGCAAGTTTTTTATTCTACGTAGATGAAAGTATACATAGCAACACTCTGAGATGCTAGAATCAAAGATAAAGCCAAGACTACGAAACTTGTAAGATACATCAAGAGTTTTAGAATCAGGCAAGATAATAGAAAGATTAGTAATAAAGTGTTTATTAAAACAAAATAATTCAAATTTAGAAGGATTTTGAGACAGTCAGACGATAATTGAGGAAAGACAGAGATAGATATGAAGAACACTATTGAGATCAGATGGAGGATAATTAAGTATAAATATAAGAATCGTCAGCACATAGCTAACTAGTGAAAGAAAAATTAATAATACGAGGTAGTTCAGAAGTTTAGAGTATGAACTCAAGAATGATAGGATAAAATATTGAAGAAAACTCCCTAAGTAAATTAAAAGGAAGTAGATCTAGAGACAACAAGAAAACAAAGATAGACGAGAAACAGTTTTATTAAGAGAATGGTCCATCAACCTCAAGAGAATAGTATGATCAACAGCATCAAAAGCAGAAGAAAGTTAAGAGCAAGAATCGTAAGATTACCATTATCACTCTGGTCCATTCGAATAACACTTCGATTGACAATATGAACACCTTAACATCCATCTGGTTGAAGTTTTGTATTTAACGATATGACCAATAAAAATAATGAACAATTAAAAAAAACGTCACGAAAGAAACGTACATTCAAAAAAATATTAAAACATAAATGGACAGAGAAGTTAGCATGCATCATAAATTCACCATCATAACCATCATTCCCATTCATAAATTCACCATCAAAACCATCACTCACATTCATAAAATCACCATCAATTACATTCATAAAACCATCATCATAACCATCAATCACATTCATAAATTCATCATTATCATAACCACCATTCACAATCATAAATTCATCATCATAACCATCACTAACATTCATAAATTCATCATCATAACCATCACTCACATTCATAAGATCAACATCATTCACATTCATAAAACCATCATCATAACCATCATTTCCATTTATAAATTCACCATCATAACCATCATTCCCATTCATAACCATCACTAACATTCATAAATTCACCATCATAACCATCACTCACATTCATAAAATCACCATCATTTACATTCATAAAATCATCATCATAACCATCATTCCCATTTATAAATTCACCATCAAAACCATCATTCACATTCATAAAACCATAATCATAACCATCACTCCCATTCATAAATTCGCCATCATAACCATCACTCACATTCATAAATTCGCCATCATAACCATTACTCAAATTCATAAAATCATCATCATTCACATTCATAAAACCATCATCATAACCATCATTCATAAATTCACCATCATTCCTATTCATAAATTCACCATCATAACCATAATTCACATTCATAAAATCACCATCACCCACATTCATAAAATCATCATTATAACCATCATTCCCATTCATAAATTCTCCATCAAAACCATCATTCCCATTCATAAATTCACCATCAAAACCACCATTCACATTCATAAATTCGCCATCATTCCCATTCATAAATTCACCATCATTCCCATTCATAAATTCACCATCATTTACATTTATAAAATCATCATCATAAACATCATTCACATTCATAAATTCACCATCATCATAACCATCATTCCCATTCATAAATTCACCATCATTCCCATTCATAAATTCACCATCATTTACATTTATAAAATCACCATCATTCACATTCATAAGTTCACAATCAAAACCATTATTACATTCATGAGTTCACCACCATTCATTCATAAATTCACCGTCATCTCCATCATTTACATTCATAAAATCATCATCATAACCATCATTCTCATTCATAAATTCGCCATCATAAACATCACTCACATTCATAAAATCACTATCATTCACATTCATAAAATCACTATCATTCACATTCATAAAATCATCATCATAATCATTACTCGCATTCATGAAATCACCATCATTTACATTCATAAAATCATCATCATAACCTTCATTTCCATTTATAAATTCACCATCATAACCATCACTCCCATTCATAAATTCACCCTCATAACCATCACTAACATTCATAAATTCACCATCATAACCATCACTCACAATCATAAATTCACCATCATAACCATCACTCACAATCATAAATTCACCATCATTCACAAATTTGCCATCATTCACATTCATAAGTTCAGCATCATAACCATCATTCACATTCATAAATTCATCATCATTCACATTCATAAATTCACCATCTCAACCATCATTCACATTCATAAATTTACTATCATAACCATCATTCACAAAATCATCGTCATCATAACCATCATTCACAAAATCATC